ACTTACTAAACTGCTCCGGTGATCTAAACGATTCACTGAATGGCTGATTCTTGGCATTTTGGGATTAATAGCTATTTGCACCACTGCTGCCATCACTGGCGTTGCTTCACAAACCTCGATTCAAACACATAATTTTATCCAAAATTGGACTAAAGATGCTCACACTATGTGGACCACTCAGGCTCAGAGAGATGAGGATATTCAAGATGAAATACAGGAACTAGAACAGCCATCAAATGGGTTGGAGATCAACTAATAGATGTACAAAAACAGGTGATGCTAAAATGTATTGGAATTCTACTCAATTTTGTGTTACTCCTGTTCAATTCAATAATAGTACCTACAACTGGGAACAAATCAAATTTCATTTACAAAACATACATGATAATGACTCTCTGAATGTACAAGTATTACAAAAAGAAATCTTTGAAACCTTTTCTAAAAATTTGCCCTCTTCCACTAATTTGGAAACCTTAGGTGAACAACTAGCTGATCAATTATCTGGGCTAGAGCCACGCGGATGGTTTCAAAGCATTACACACAGCATCGGGTCTGGAACTGTAATTCTGGTGATTGTCTTGACGATTTTATTTGTTGTTTACCATTGTCTTCATGCAAAAATTGTTAAAAGAAACTCAAATGGTCAGAACCCTTTTTAACAAATATTGTAAATAAATAAGGGGGAATTGTTAGGGAATGTTTAACAGGAGGATTCCTACATGCTGTTTCTCATAAATCTTGTTCCTTATCAGTTTCTGTTCTCAGAAACCAGTGGAACGGCACGCTGCTCCCAGGTCTGAAGTCATAGAATGAGACAGGTTTGAATCTCCTTCAGTAAACACTCTCCTTACGACAAAACCGCTTAGTCTCGATCCTCTTTCTTAACATATGGATTGTCTCCTGACCTTGTGACCATTATTAATCCCTGTTTCCGTGTTAAGGGTTGCTGTACGTTTGGCTTTCTGATCTTTATCATCATCGAAAGAAATTTCTTGTACAACAGCCTAGATATACTCACAGAAAGATCATTAAAGCACCTTTGCTCCATCAGAGCTTGGGTCCCTGTGTCTTTCTTTCTCTTTCTCACTTTCACTTTCTCATCATTGACTCCGGACCGCCAGATTCCGGTCCATTAAAGGACCCCAACAGATTGCAACGCAATATATTCTTTAATCCTACAACTATTGTTAATACAGCTTTATTTGTTTTAAATTTTTTAAACTTACCGCAAGGGGATATTTTGATAAAAGTAGAAAAAGATTTTGAGGCATTGAAGGATACCTCCCTTCCTCTGCCCATCTGGTATCAAGACGGGTTGACTCAACAATGGGAATCTGGAAAATTAATATTACAAAGAAAGGGGTATGCTTGTATTTCTCCAGATGGACCCAACGAAATCAGCTGGCTCCCTCTTCAGAAGATCCGCCCCAGGGAAGCCACCGGCATTCAAGATAGAGAAGAAACAGCAAAATCACCAGGAGGAGGAGTTTCCAGTAGAAGCCACAGCAACTTTAAAAATTTCCAACAAATGCTGCACTCGAGGTAAGTGACCTTATGACCTCCCCGCTTGGGGACAGATAAAAACCCTTATTAATCAAGCTGAAAATCTGGTTTCTCAAAAGGGAATGCCTCGGAATCCAGAAAATATTTTTGTCACTATGCTTGCTTTTGCTTCCCCCGCTTAGGCTGACTTGATTAATCACACTTATTGGGCTTATATACCTAACCCCCCTTTATTGCAGGTTGTAGAACAGACAGATATAGGACTGGTTGTATCCACTAATGACTCAGTACATACACCTCCTCCTTGGAGTTTGGAGGGGCGTTCTCAGGCTGAGGAAGAAAGAAGACTAATTAACATTTCTCTAGGCTATGAAATCCTTCCTTCAGGCATGGGCCCAGCAGAATTATGTATTAATGTTAGTCGACAAACGGGGGCTTTCATCCTGCCTTGAAAAAAGAACTTCCCTACATTGTTTAGACTGTTTACTGCCCTATCCTCTTATGAGAACCATGTCAATACTACCAAAACTCTAGGAAAAGGACAAAAATTGGAAGGGATTTACTTATAAGGATTTTAAATATACTCCTGTTTGAGATACATGTCAAGCTAAATCATGGAAATTAATGTTTGTGGCTAGTTAAAGCATTCTTGATAGGGGACCCTATGGTATGTGGTTATCTAACTGCTCAGATGATATTAACAGTACTATGTGTGATTATGTTACTCAACTAACATGGAAGATTACCAACAGTTCAAAGGAACACTTCCATGACAAAGGACTCCTTGGCTGGCTTGACGGCGGAATGGCACCTCCTCACCCTCAAAACAGCCTCACTAAACAAACTGGGCCTGAACAATGGGACATCTGGAAACTTGCTACAAACACTGAAAAACTTGGAACTTGGACTGGATATTTCACAGGGACCAGCCATAGTCATAGTAACCATCCTTCCATTGTAATCATTCATATTTTATACAAGCTTGTGTTCCCCTTCCTTTTGTTATAGCCATAGGAAACTTAAAATTTAATAAGACTTTATGTTCTGAGGCTTATATAGACTGCAAATTGTATATTTGTCTTAATTTCTCTATTTCTCTAAAAAATCCCTTTTGATTCTTTGATCTCGATGTAGTCTGTGTGGTTGCCAGTAGATCACCAATAGCCCTGGAAAGAGGGTCCGATGGCAAGACCTGCCTCCCACTTACTCACTAAATTACTGCAACGAGATGGTTGATTCTTGCATTTTGGGGTTGATAGCCATTTGCATCACTGCTGCTGTCACAGACATTGCTTTATAAATTTCAAATCAAACGCAAAACTTTATTCAAAATTGGATTAAAGATGCTCATACTATATGGGTCACTCAGGTTCAGACAGACGAAAAAGTTCAAGATAAAATTCAGGAATTAAAAACAGCCAGCCAATGGGTTGGAGGTCAATTAATAGATTCACAAAAACAAGTATTATTAAACTGATTGGAATTCTACTCAATTTTGTATCACTCCTCTTCGGTTCAACCATAGTGCTTACAATTCAGAACAAATCAAATTTCATTTGTAAGATATACATGACAATGCTTCCTTACATGTACAACTGCTGCAAAAGGGAATCCTTGAAACCTTCTCTAAGAGTCTACCCTCTTCCAACAATTTGGAAACCTTAGCTGAACAGCTCACTGCTCAATTATCTGGGCTAGACCCTCGAAGATGGTTTCAAGGCATTACACATAGTATTGGATCGGGAACTATTAACACTGATAATTATCCTGGTGATTATACTTGTTATAAATAGATGCCTTTCAACTAAAATTGTTCAAACTAAACAAACTCAATTGGTCAGGGCCTTTTCCACAAAAAGTATCAACAGTCACCCCCAGTCAAGAAAAAATAAAAAAGGGGGAACTGTCAGGGGACGTTCAACTTTAAGGTATCCAATATGTTATTTTCTTCTTCTGTGTGCCGTTTCTCAAGGACTCTCTATTCCTTATCAGTTCCTGGAAAACAGGAACGAGCAGAAGTGCATGCAGTTCTCAGGACTGAGATCATGAGAAAGGGCACCTGCTTGGATTCCTTTCAGTGACTCCCTTCAGTGACCTTCTACTTATAGGTAATCTATTCAGTTATGCCCCTCTTACTCAGGATATGGAATGCTTTCTGGCCCTTTGAAGATTGTTATTTGCTTGGCTTTGTTTCTGCTCAATTTTTTTTTACTGCCTTAAAGCTGCCTTGTATGAAAATACATAACCATGCGTTTCTGCATATAAAGCACCCTTGTCTCACTTGAGACTCGGGTCCCCTGCGTCCTTCTTGTCGACTCCAGTCCCCAGTCTACAAAGACCGGTACAGCTCTGTCTTCAATTTCCACAAATAAGAGTAACTCTTCTTTAATCATACATACAACAGTTATTTCTATCCAATGGAGAACATGACCCTTTTCCTATGCATTGTTCCTAGCACACCACTGGTCGCTGGTAACTGTCCCTCTCCTCCTACGAAAAGCCCAGTCCTTTTAACATCTTGCCTACTCTATTCAAGGTCAGTTGGTGGAATATTATCTTTTATAACAGGCTGGACTATGTACGGAAAGGCTTCCTGATCCTACTGACCATGATGAATCATGTCTTAGGTTTACATTATTTTCTGCCCTCCCTGTTGCTAATTCTCACACACTATTGAATTTCATAATTCAGGCTGTGTGTTTTTCCAGGAAACACGGATCTGAATGAATCGTATCTAATGAAGTTGGCCCCTTCATCTCACTGATTCCTTCCCAGAGACCATCATGAAACACATGTAGCAAATGCGTTTGATCAATGTATTACTAAAGCCAAGCTCTTAGAGCTCACCATGCAACAGGCCAATAAACTGAGAGATTACTTGTTGGGCAAGGAATATTGACTTTATTCAGAAAGCCAGGAGACCAAAAAGATGGTGGACTTCTGTCCCAAAGAATCATCTTTGCTGAGTTAGAATTCGGGTTTCTTTTATGCAAAAAGATCTCTATAGCTTCTCTTCAACTATGGACTTACTACAGTTGCTGAGTACCTGAACTAAAGTCATCAGAGAATACATAAAGTGAAAAAGGTAAAGGATTTGCCACACCACTGAGTCTGGGAAGTATGGCTTCATTATGTTCCTATCTTGTGACTTTTGGGTAAGATCCTTGCCACATACATTACATTGCTGTGTGTTTTCTCCAGGATAAACACTCTGATACTACTGGCAAGATGTGAGCTGTGAGGACAGGGTTTTTTTTCACATTTGTGAAACTGGTGAGGAATCTTTCTAGAATGAATTCATGTTCTAAAGACCTGACTAATAAATATGTATATATCTGGCTTCTATCCAGTATGAATTTTCTCACGAAACCTAAGATGTTGCCACACTCATCATATTTCTATGGTTCTTCAGTAGTATGAATTCTCTGACCAAAAGTAGGGTGTGAAGTTTGAACTTTGAAGACTTCTACCATATACCACATTCACATAAGTTTTTCTCATGTATGGATTTTCTGATGTTTAGTGAGTGCTGAGACCTGAGTAAAGGATTTTCCACACTCGAAACATTTGAAAGGTTTCTCTATATGTATTCTCCGATGACTTGTAAGGTGTGAATTTCGACTGAAGAACTTGCCACACTCATCACATCTGTAAGGTCTCTCTCCAGTATGAATTCTCCAATGAAGGCGAAGATGTGGTTTTTGACCGAAGAGTTTTCCACACTCATCACATTTGTAAGGTTTCTCACCAGTATGAACTGTCTGATGACTTAAAAGGGTTGACTTTACACGAAAGGCTTTGCCACACTCATCACATTTGTAAGGTTTCTCTCCGGTATGAAATCTCTTATGACTTATGATCTGTGAAGGCTGACTGAAGTGCTTGCCACACTCATTACATTTGTAAGGTTTCTCTCCTGTATGAACCCTCTGATGACCAGCAAGGTATTCATTTCGGCTGAAGACTTTGTCACATATATCACATTTAAATGATTTCTTTCCTGTATGAATTTTCTGATGTCTCCTGAGGTGTGAGCTGGAAGTAAAGGTCTTGCCACACTCATCACATTTGAAAGGTTTCTCACCAGTATGAACTGTCTGATGAGTTAAAAGGACTGACTTTACACGAAAGGCCTTGCCACACTGATCACATTTGTAAGGTTTCTCTCCAGTATGAACTGTCTGATGACTTAAAAGGACTGACTTTACACGAAAGGCCTTCCCACACTCATCACATTTGTAAGGTTTCTCTGCAGTATGAAATCTCTTATGACTTATGATCTGTGAAGGTAGACTAAAGTGCTTGCCACACTCATCACATTTGTAAGGTTTCTCTCCAGTATGAACCCTCTGATGACCAGCAAGGTGTGCATTTTCACTGAAGACTTTGCCAGACATACCACCTTTAAATAATTTCTTTCTTGTATGAATTTTCTGATGTCTCTTGAGGTTTGAGCTGTCAGTAAAGGCCTTGCCACACTCATCACATTTATAAGGTTTCTCACCAGTATGAACTGTCTGATGCCTTAAAAGGATTGACTTTACACGAAAGGCCTTGCCACACTCATCACATTTGTAAGGTTTCTCACCAGTATGAACGGTCTGATGCCTTAAAAGGACTGACTTTACACGAAAGGTCTTTCCACACTCATCACATTTGTAAGGTTTCTCTCCAGTATGAAATCTCTTATGACTTCTGAACTGTGAAGAGTGACTATAGTGCTTGCCACACTCATTACATTTGTAAGGTTTCTCTCCTGTATGAACCCTTTGATGAACAGCAAGGTATGCATTTTGACTGAAGACTTTGTCACATATATCACATTTAAATAATTTCTCTCCTGTATGAATTTTCTGATGTCTCCTGAGGTTTGAGCTATCAGCAAAGCTTTTGCCACACTCATTACATTGGCAACTTTTCTTTCTTGCAGGGATAGTCCGATGACTTACAAGGAATGAATTCTGACCAAAGATTTTATCACATACATCACACTTATGTAAGTTTGCTCCTGAGTGGATTATCTGATGTCTAGCAAGGGTGGAGCCATCATTCAAGGTTTTGCCACACTCATTACATTTGTAACATTTCACTTCAGAATGAATTTTCAAATGACATGCAAGTTGTGAACTTTGATCAAACAATTTGTCACATACTTCACATTTATGTGATTTCTCTCTTATATGGATGGCCTGATGTTTAATGAGGCATGAGCCCTTAAGACAGGCTTTCCCACACTCATCACATTTGTAAGGTTTTACACTGTGTGCTTTGAGGTCTTGTGTTATTACTGAAGGATTCATAAAATCATTCCCATATATATTAGAAACACTGGTTTGGACACAAGGAGGACTTCTTTGAAGTGGTGAAAATGAGAAACTGTTGTTGACAGACCTCTCAACTTCATTATATTCAGAAGTTATCCCGCCAGTTTCAAGTATCTGCAGATTATCCTGAGAGTTAAACTCAAGCCTGTTTCCAAAGGGCTTGATTCCTGCATCCTTTCTATCATGTGAATCTCTTTCATCAGGCACATTTCCATTAAGGCTTACAGGTGTTCCTTTGTAATTTCTTTTGTCATCTCTCCCCTGACACTCAAGGTCACACATATTTTCCAGAATTTCCCAAAGATGAAAATGTTTGATTTCATAGCTTTCAGGTCTTCCCAGCATCAATGTTTGGAGTGGTTCTCGTTTATCACTGTTCACTTTGGGTTGTAAATGCTTGCTCACATGTGTAGGAGAGATATCTACAAGATAAAAAGAACCATAGATATCCTGCTCACAATGATTCAAAAACAAATGTTTCATGTTGAACATCTATAACACCAAAAGTAATACTTACACCAAGTTATGAAACACAACAGTGATGACCTTAAGTTTTTAGAAACACTAAAGGAATAGAATTCTTAACTTAAGAAAGCATGATAACATAAATTCACCATTAAGGTAACCTAGTTTTTTAAAAACCATATGCCAAATACACTCACATTGGACAATCTTATGCCTACTCTCAAAGACAGAGTATTTTTCTATGAGGACCTCTAGGAATGTATCAATTGACAGTTGGCTCAAATTGAAAAGAAAAATATTACACTATCATTGTATTCTGCATACTTACTGTACATAAATAAATTCTAAACAATATATTATATATTGTAACAGTAAATAATCCCAAACCAAGCTTATCCAATTAGTAATTAACTATTCATAATTGGTTGTTTACAATTGAAAACAAATGAGAAAATGAAGAATATGACTAAAACAATTTTTTGGAAACAACATAGTTTTTCTAAATCTGCTACAGAACTATGTACCCAAAAAGAAAGGCATTTTACAATGTTAACAAGTAGTATGTGTCAGCTGTATTGCAGAACACACGCTTAAGGATCAGCACCTGTAAATGACACATAAACTGAGCCTTAAAATATTCACCAGTTTTCTAACAGCCAAGAACCAAAGCAATCCCGGCCTATGTTGTTGTTCAGTCGCTCAGTTGTGTTTGGCTCTTTGCGACCCCGTGGACTGTAGCCCACAGGACTCCTCTGTCCATGGGATTTCCCAGGCAAGAATAATGGAGTGGGTTGCCATTTCCTTCTCCATGGGATCTTCCTGACTCAGGGATCAAACTTGCATCTTCTGCATTAGCAGTTGAATTCTTTACCACTGAGCCACCAAGGAAGGCTAATCTCTAGCCATGCACTGTTCTTAATTACCTGGTTAAATGGTACCAAACTGTAAGAAATAAAAAGTGAGTGCTTTGTGTATTTATTGACTAGGGCCAGACACAGTATTGCTGAAAAATGTTGCAAGTGAAAAGTGTACAAGATATAATGGAGTTGAGGTTTGACAGAAAACAAAATTCTGTAATGCAATTATTTTTCCAATTAAAAAATAAAATTTTAAAAAGATATAATGTAGATAAAGTCATATCATCAAGAACATGACAGAATATAGATATTACCTTTTTTAAACAAAAGTTAATTTTGAGTATTTACTATAAAACATGCACTACTGTAAGCCAACTGACAGCACTAATTTGCTTTAAAAGGCTTGAGGTAAATTAACATGTTTTTCTCTAATCAGAGCAGGAAAAAGACCCAATTGGCCCACAAAGTGGTAAGAGAACCAGGATATGAATCTGAACATACAGACTGAGAAAACTTATTTGTAAACATGACCACCCATCGAAGGAGTAGATTAGAAAATATTTAAAGAAAAAAAAAAAGGAACTTAGAAAGAAAATACCAAGGAAAATATAAGACAGAAGTAGTCTGTTTAACTATTATTCACCATCCCATCTCGAAATGGTTTGTGAGTCATCATGGATGCACAGAGTGATTGAGGGCATGTCCTGAGAAACTTGTTCAATAAATGACCAGAGATAATCTTTACAGTGGGAGTATGTAGAAGGTGGAGGGATGTGGTAGCTAAGAACAATGTTTCCATCCGTATCAAGCTACTATGTGAAGAATGGTCAGGACTAACAAAGGGCCTGCGTGGAGCATAGGGTACACAGGTTTATGTCAGATATCAGCTTGGGACTGCATGTCTTTGTGAAAATAACTGACAGCGCAAACTAATATACTGATCTTAAAAGAAAAGAACTGGTTCAGCAAGTTTATGGGCATTGAACTATGGGTACAGGAGAGAAACAAGAGAGATTTTAAAAGTGACTGTGATATATGGAGAAAGCAGGATAATACCTGTTATACTATTTACAATGTAATGTATCCAACTGTGAAGTAAGTTACAATGGAATGCTTATATTCAAGAAAAACATAGACAATATTCCAGGATATTGTGTGAGAATCTTATTAGCAGAAATTAGAAGGAACATCCAGGAAAAGGCTATCTAAACCTGGGTTCCTCTGCCAAGTATGATTAACCTCTCTATTGGACATCTACTTCGTTTCTTCTTCCACACATGTTCATCCCAAGATCGAGGAGTATCAAAGAAAAGGAGGGATTGAAACTGACTCTGGAGGACCTTGCCAGTTACAAAAGCCTTTCTGAGCCTTTTGCGTTTGTAGAAAAAGACTTTATTCTCCAAGCCTTTCCCTGAGTTCAAAAGAGTAGATTCAAACAGTTTCTAATACATAAAAGGATCATAAACCATGATCAAGTCAGATTTATAGCAGGGATGCAAGATTTCTCAATATCCACAAGTTATTCAGTATGATACACCACATTAACAGTTGAAGACTAAAAACCATATGATCATCAATAGATGCAGAAAAGATTCTGACAAAATTCAAGTGCCATTTATGCTAAAAACCCTTCAGAAAGTCAGCATAGATGGACCCTACCTCAATATAATTAAGACTGTATATGTCAAACACACAGCTAACATCATACTCAACAGGGAAAAACTGAAAGCACTCCCCTTAACAATATGAATAAGACAAGAATATTCACTATCGCCACTTTCATTAAACATATTTTTGGAAGTCCTAGCCACAACAATCAGAAAGAAAAAGAAATAAAAGGAATTCAAGTTTAAAAAAATAAAAAAGAAGTAAAAATGTCAGTATGATGCTACACACAGAAAATCCCGAAGATGCCACCAGATGACTACTAGACCTCATCAATGAACACAGTAAACTTGTTGGATACTAAATATATAGAAAACTGCTGCATTTCTATACACTAATAATGATATATCAGAAAGTTAAATTAGTGAAACAATCCCATTCACCATCTCATAGAAAACAATAAAATTCTAAGCAATAAACCTACATAAAAAGTCAAAAGAACTGTACTCATAAAACTATAAGATGCTGATGACTGATACCAAAGATGACACAAACAGATGGAAATATATACCATGTTCTTGGACTGAAAGAAGTAACACTGTCAAAATGATCATACTATCCAAGGCAATCTACATATTTAATGCAACCCTTACCAAATTAACAATGACATATTTCATAAAACAAAGAAAAATTTAATTTGCACCAAAATACAAAAGACTCTGATATCTAAAACAATCTTGAGAAGGAAGAACAGAGCTGGAGGAATGATGCTCCCTGACTCAGACCAAACCACAAACTTACAGTCATCAAAGCAATATGATAATAGCACAAAACAGAACACAGATAGTAGAACAGGATAGAAAACCCAGAAATAAACCCGTTTACTTAGAGTCAATTATTCTATAACAAAGGAGAAAAGAATACTGAATGAAGAAGTCTCTTTAATAAGTGATGCTGGGATAAATGGATAGTTACATGAAAAAGAATGAAATTACAACATTTTCTAACACCGCATACAAAAATAAACTTAAAATGTATTAAACATCTAAATGCAAGACCAGATACTATAAAATTCATAGTGGAAAACAAATGCAAAACACTGACATAAATGTCAGCAAAGTTTTTTTTGGATCTCTCTTAGAGTCATGGTAACACAAGCAAAATCAAACAAATGAGACCTAATTAAATCTAAAACCTTTTTGCAAAGCGAAGGAAACCAAAAAAAGAACAAAAATACAACTTATGGACTAGGAGACTATATATGTAAATGATGCTACCTATAAGGGATTTATTTCCAAATATACAGACAGTTCATACAGTTTAATATCAAAACAAACAAATAACCCAATCAAAAACTGCACAGAAGATCAAAACAGATATTTCTCCAAAGGAGACCAAACAGATGGCCAACATTCACCTGAAAAGATGTTCAAAGGCTCTACTTATCAGAGAAATGCAAATCAAAATCACCTGACACTGGTCAGAATGAACACCATCAAAAAGTCTACAAACAATAAATGCTTGAGAGGGTGTGGAGAAAAGAGAACCCTCCTACACTGTTGAAGGAACATAAATTGGTACTGCCACTTTGGAGAACAGCATGGAGGTTCCATAAAGAACTAAAAATAGAGCTATCACATGAACAATCCAGCAATTCCAATCCTGGGCATATATCCAGAAAGGATGAGAACTAATTCAAAATCATACACTCACCCCAATGTTTTTAGCAGCACTGTTTATACCTGACAAAACATGGCAGCAACCTAAATGTTCACTGACAGACAAAGGGATAAAGAATATGTGGTACACATATAAAAGGGAATATTGTGAAGTGAAAGTAGCTCAGCCGTGTCCAACTCTTTAAGACCCCATGGCCTGCAGCCCACCAAACTCCCCTCTCCATGAAATTCTCCAGGCAAGGACAATGGAGTGGGTTGCCACCTCCACAGCATAAAACACAATGAAGTAATGCCTTTTGCAGCAATATAGACAGACTGAGGGAGTATTCTAAGTGAAATCAGACAGAGAAAGACAAATATCATAGGATATTATATCTTGAACTGAAATAAATGATACAAATGAAGTTATTCACAAAATAAACTCACCAGCATAAATAACAAACTTATGCTTACCAAAGGGGATAGTGCAGGATGGTGGCGGGGGCAGGAAAGGGAGAGATAAATTAGGAATCTGAATATACACAAACTAATATATATACAAAATAGATAAACAACAGGAACCTACGACGTAACTCAGGGAACTATATTAAGTATCTTGTAAATTGCTGTGTACCGGAAACACAACATTGTAAATTAACTATACCTAAAAAGTGGAGAAGGAAAAGGCAACCCACTCCAGTATTCTTGCCTGGAGAATCCCAGGGACAGAGGAGCCTGGTGGGCTGCTGTCTGTGGGGTTGCAGAGTCGGACACGACTGATGCAACTTAGCAGCAGCAGCAGCATACTTAAAAAGAATGGTTAAAACAAAGACAAAAACAAAACACCTCTTGCGGAGATGTTCAAACGATGTTTCACAAGGGTGTAAAAACTACTAAATGGGGGAAGCAGTCTATGAAGCAAGACATGTTGACAATACTGAATACCCACCAGAAAAAGAATTTACTTGGAACATTATCTTACACTACAGAAAAAAATGAACTCAACATGGTTCAAAGACCTAAACTTAAGTCCAAAATGTATAAAACCCCTAGAAGTAAACATGCAGGAAATGTTTTTGGAAATGGGACCCACAAATGATTTATCAGATATAACACCAAAAGCACAGGCCACAAAATAATACCAGATATTAACAAATTGAACTATATCAAAATTATAAACTACTGTCCATTAAAGTGCAGTGAATTTGAAAAGACAACAGTAAAAGAGAAAATATGTGGAAATCATATATCTCATAGTAAATGAGTACAAAGAATATATAAAGAATTTTAAGAGGGACTGATCACCAGTTCCACTGTAGGGACCATTCCCCAATCAGCCATCCAACGCATTGCAAATACAAAACAGAAACACTAAGAGTAGCAAAGAAATTTGAACTCAATGATAAAATAAAAAAATACTTACAGTGCACAGAACAACAGTGCAGCCAACAGCCTCATAGATATGAGAATGTGAACTGGGACAAAGTTGTCCTGGGATAAATTCCCATACCATTTACAAAGGCTAAAATATATGGTCCTTGATATACATGAACAACAGAGTCATGGTGCCCTTGACAGAGTCTCCAAAGCCAGAAAATAACCTGGAAAGATGCATCAGGCTCTCGTGATACTTTCTCTCTCATAATCTTAGAAGATACTGACTACTCTACTGGAGAGCTTCAAGTGGTGACTTTGAACAGAGCAAGAAAATAATATTAATAGTGTCTCCATCACAGTTTTCTGTTACCTAGTAAATCCACTCCACAGAGACTCACCAGAGATGGCCAATTAAACATAGGTGGATTATCACAGCAAGGAAACCAGATAAAATTTCATACCCTGAGGAATATATTTCAAAGAAATTTAAGAGGTAAAATGATGCAAAGTAAGGAGAACATAACATTGGGAACAGTTGACATTCCCAGACTGGCTACAGCAGTACAAGAGTAAAAATAATACAACATGAAGGTCAGATATTACAGGATCTTGAGATGGGACCATGTGCCTGACCTACAGATGGCAAGCTAAGAGCCCGTGAGATTCACATATGCTCCCCTTGTAGGATCTAGCATCAAAAAAACGATCTCTCCACCCACTCTCCTTACATCTTCCTAAGTTACAAACAGAGGAGCCAATCAACCAGCATGTCCCACTCCAAAAAAGAAAAAAACAGTCCTTTTGAGATACTTTTTCTTTATACATTGTATCTTTGGCTATTTTTACATTACTCCCCACTGTCCAGAGCTTTTTCTCGTGCTCCAATGTGGAGATAATATTCAGATCAGAAACATAAATTCTGAGACTCCCTTGGTGATCCTGTGCTTAAGACTCTGCACTTCCAATGCAGGGGGTGCAGGTTTGATCCTTAGTCAGGGAACTAAGCTCCCACATGCAAAATGGTGCAGCCAAAAAAAGTAAATAAGCAAAACAAAAAGAAATGGATATTCAGGGTTATCACAAGAAAGAGATCTAAAGTGCTGTGCATTTTTCTAAACACTGAGCCAAAGGTCAAAGGTAGAAAATAGGAAATCGGGTTTTTTGGTGTTTTCTTTTAACATTTGCCAGTGAGCTTTGTACATAATTAAGCTCTGGGACAACCTCACATGTGACAAGAGACAGACACAGCATCTGAAGAGGGTCAGTTTAACCTTGTGAAGCTGTGTCATGCCCAAGTCACCAGAACTCTTAGATGAAAGACATCAGGGCCTCCCAAGGGGCACACGGGGAAAATGCAGATACCCAACGGCAGCTCTGGAAGGAAGTCATCCTCACCCACAGACAGCAGGTTCCTGTAGGTCTCTAGCATCACATCCCTGTACAAGGCCCTCTGAGCAGGGTCCAGGAATTCCCACTCCTCCTGAGTGAATTCAATGGCCACATCCTCAGAGGTCAGTTGTTTCTGAAATGAAACCACATGTCACCAAAAGGGCCATGAAAAGTTCTCATTTTCATGCAAAAAAGAAAGGGTAGTAAGGGGTAAGGATTGACTTGGTTGAAGTATGTGTTCTAACAGATCCATGCAGGGGTATCTGGAGAAAATATGGATCTCTAATTTTAATTTCTTATGCTTTTTCATAAGACCTCATGCAACCCTACAATTAATATGGATTTTTCATCATTGTTCAAAATCCATGAACTATATATAAATAAAACTCAACACTATACAGAAGTGTCAGATATTATGTTCTACCCAGTGAGTGCAATTCATTATCTAGATGAGGTACAGCATGAGTAGTGTCTTCAAGAGATGATGAAGTCCACAGCACTTTTAATGGAAAAGGTCAAAATTTTCAGTTATGACGTTGAGAACAGCAGCAAGGGCCAAAAGTGTCTGAAGGCTTCCTGTTGCTCTCAATTACTGTAGTATTACTCTAAACATTAAATAAGTACTTTACAGGCAAGAACCTGTCATCAATATAGCTCATTAAAGAACAATCTGTTCCCACCTTACAGAAGAAAAACGTGTCACAGACACTCTGAGAAACTCAACTCAGATCAAGAAGGTAAGAAATGTTACACGAAGCACCTGAACTCAGAGGCTTGGGCTCAGCAACTGAAGCTTAAGCATCTAACAGTTAAGTAATACAGAGAACATTAAAAGTCCTTTGACACAGGGCTCCTAAAGAAAACTTGAAAGAAGTCCAAGGTGAGCCTCCTCCCTGCCCCTCTGTCTTCTCTGCAGGGGGAGCAGCTCTCAGGCCCCGGGCCTTCATCCCCTGAAAATGGACGCCTGCGCCGAATTCGTCTCCACCCACTCCCTGATCGGGAGAACCTCCCCACTGCGTAGTCATCACTGTCCGCAGTGGTGAAGGAACGGAGACACTGACCGATGAGGGCCACGGCAGCGTGGCAGCCCCGGGTCCCCGGACCATCTCACTCACTCCTAGCCGCAGCTTCCAATCCCAGCGCCATGTCACGGGGCTCTGACATAGCAGCCAAGTGCCCTGGAGCCAGAGCTGCCAGAGCAGGGGAGGCTGGGTCCAGGGCTGGAGGTGGGACCGTGGGCGGGAGCGTCATCACTGTTACCCAGGAACCCTTCTCTGAAACAGCAGCTCGTCTGCCCCAGGGGCTTGGCCCTCTCAAAGGCCATGGGGCTCTTTTGCCTCATGGTGCTCTAGCTCATCTTCCTCACGACGTGAAGGAGCTGCTTCCACCTCCCACAGTTCTTTCTCCTGTGTCTGCCCTGTGTGTTCCCTTTCCTGTAACTCCCCAAGCAGCCTGGGGACAGTGGTGGGCCCAGGGTTTGACAGAAGGAAAGCAAATAAATATTGCATTAATGTGAAAAAAAAAAGAAGTCCAAGGTGAACAATGTGTAATGGCATGAAAGGTCATCAGAGAAATGGATACAGAAACAAAACTGTTAGCAATTTACTGCTTAAAACACTAATAGGATTGTTTAGAAAATTTCAAGGCCACAGATTATACTGATAACATAATTTCAACTGAAAAAAAAGGTAATATGCAGTTTTTAAATCATGATGCCTTCTATCAAAACCAGACTTGCACATGCATGCATACATATCTATAAAAAATTAACTGAAATGAGAGGATTCGTCTCTTGACGAATTTTGGACAATTTTATATCATCCTTTTATTCACATGTATTTCAGCATCTTTCAGACGATAAAAATGTATCCTTTGTACTCAGCTGAGTTTGTCAACAGGATTCTGTACTAGGCTACTGAAAGAAAACTGGTAAAAGCATTTTAAAAAAAGAGAATACTTGAACTCAATTCATAATAAAATTACCAAATATAAAAATACAAATACAATTTTATCCATTTAAATTTACATAGCAAGGCATTAACAGAAGCCAAAGATTTTCTTTCTTTTTTTTTCCATTAATGAAACAGTGATTTGAAATTAGAAGAGTCATTAGGTTATGACAAAAAAAATTATCACAAGAGTAAAGTAAAAAAACTTCTTGGAGAATAAAAATCATGGCAAAAAAGAATATGGAAAAAAATATAGTTATTAAGCAAGACTATCTCAAGAATCATCATGATGGGAAGGAAACATTCAATACATTCCTTCTGAAATTACAGTGTCATGAAAGGAGCTGTCCAGGGTGCCTGTCTTTCACCAGAATACGATACGCATGAGCAGGGGCCACTAGAAGAAGTAACAGGAGGAAAAACACAGGGCAAGAGACACAGAGTTTGTTATAGTTGAAACAGGTAGTACTCACAAACCTAAGGACATGGAAAGGTGAAAAGTGAAAGGATGGGAAAACACAGTCCATCCTAAAGAGAGCAGGGGAGACTGTTAAATCAGACAAAATAAACTGAAGAAAAAACAAGTGCAATGAGATAAATATTGTATAATGATAAAATGGTCAATTTACCAAAAAGCTGTAACAAGTAAAAATATATATACATCTAACATTAGATATCTCAGAAAAATGAAGCAAACATTAAGGGAAAGGAAGACAGAAACAGTGGCACAGGAATAGTACGAGATTTCAACGCCCAAGTTGAACAGGCATGTACAGATCACATGGCCCAACAAAAGTATGAAACACATGCATCGCAAGGACACATAAAACATTCTCTGTGAGAGACCACGTTAGCTCAAAATTAATATTTTAAGAGACTGATACTATAAAAGTATCTTCCCTAACAACAATGAAATAAACACAAGTAAAAAAGAAAATTCCCCAAATGTAGACATTAAACAACTTATTCTTACACTACCAATGGGTCTAAGAAAATATCACATGGAAAATCTTAAATAGATGGATGAAAATGAAAAGACAACATTACAAAATTTATAACACACAGAGAAGACTACTAAAAGGAAAGTCTGAACTGTTAAATGCTTACAGTAGACAAGAGAAAAGATCTTAAATCTGAAATCTATTTTTAGACCTCTAGGAAGCAGAAAATGGAAAACAAACTAAACACAAGTTTAGCAGAAGGAATTAGGTAAATAAGGAAGATTAAACCAGAGATAAACTAGAAAACAGAAAAACATAAAAATCAAAAAACTAAGAGTTGATGTTTTGAAAAAACTGGATAGGAAAACCCCCACCTAGACTAAGGAAAAGAGAAAAAAAGATTCGAACAACTAAAAACAGATATGAAACAGGAGTGATTACAACTGAGGTCAAAGAAAGTTTCTAAAGATAAGGAAGTACTATGACCAATAATGCCTATAAATGACAGAATACAGGAGGTACTGGGAAATTCTCAGAAACATACCAAGCATTTTACATATTAAGAAATTATAAAACTGACATGTGTTGAAAGTGAAAGTGTTAGTCACTCAGTCGTGTCTGACACTTTGTGACCTCACGAACTGTAGCCCACAAGGCTCCTCTATCCATGGAATTTCTCCAGACAATAATACTTGATTAGCCAGCCATTCCTTTCTCCAGGGAATCTTCCCACCCAGGGATAGAACCTGGGTCTCCTGCACTGCAGGCAGATTCTTTATGATTTGAGTCACCAGGGAAGCCCATTATAACTAGAGAGATTCAAAAAGTAGTCACAAACCTCTAAGAAAAATACAGGACCAAATTCTAACAAACATTTACAAAAGAATTACCAGTAATCTTGCTAATTCTATGGAGCAAGCATGACTCTAATAGTTTGCTGATTTCCCAAAGACACAAGAAAGGAAAACTAGAAACCAATACCCCTGATGAATACTGATGCAAAATTAAAATACTTGCAAACCAACTTCAACACGTATTAAAAAGATCTGGAGAAACAGACATAGAGAACAAACAGAGGGGGAAGGGGAGGAAGGAGAGGGTGAGATGTATGGAGAGAGTAACATGGAAACTTACATTACCATATGTAAAGTAGAGAGCCAAAGGGAATTTGTTCAATGACTCAGGGAGCTCAAACAGGAGCTCTCTAAAAACCTACAGGGGTGAGATAGGGAGAAGATGGGAGAGAGGGGACATATGTATAGCTGTGGCTGATTCATGTTGGTATTTGGCAGAAAACAGCAACTTCTGTAAAGCAATTATCCTTCACTTAAAATAATTTAAATAAATAAATAAAAAGATCTGACACCATGACCAAGTGGATTTTACTTATATAAGGCAAGGAGAAGTCAACATATAAAATTAAATTAATATGACACAATACATTAACAGAATACAGGGGAAAAAAACAGGATCATCGCAATGCAGAAAAAACAATTTGACAAAAATTTGACAACCTTTCAAGACGGAATACTCAACAAACTACAAACAATAAATTATACCAACATCAACATAAGAAATGCCATTATGAAAAGAGCACAGCAATGGGGAAAGAATGAAAGCTTTTCCTCTGAGGTCAAGAAGAAGGCAAGGATGTACACTCTGCACTACAGTTCAACATAAGCAAATTGAAAAAGAAGTAAACTTATCTTCTTTCCCACATGACAAAGTTTCATAGGTAAAAAACATAAAGATTACAAAAGAAACATGCTGTATCAAAAAAGATTCTTTAATAACCACACAAAGGATCAATCAACCAATTAACTCATTATCAAAACTGCCATGGCAATCTATGTAGAAGCAGAATAAAACATGGTTAAAGTCACAGGACTATTCAAAGAGCAAACAGCAAAACTCTTGAAGAAGAAAGATGGAAGTCTTTCTATTTCAAAACCTATTACAAGGTAATCAAGGTGATGTGGTACTGGTATAAAAACAGACAATAAACCAACTGAACAGTACTCAGAAATAATGATTTGTGTATATGTAAGGTATATTCACAAGGATGTTAAGATACACAAAAGGTAAAGGACAGTCTCAATTGATCTGATTCCCAGATTTTACCAGCTACTGTGCCTATTAATACCTGATTGCCATGGGCAGTTTCCTTACCCTGGTTGACAGAGCAGAGAGCACATCCAGATGGGCCCTAAGCAATCCCTGCTGCCCAACAGCACTGAGACCCCGTCTCCAACCCGTGGGTGAGAAGCCCTGCCCAGGACGGTGCCCATGGGAGCCTCCTCACAAGGGCCAGGTCACCGGGTCATGGGGAGATGGGATCTAAGTGGAGACAACAGGCCCTGAAGGAAGGCCCTGGGTGAGTGTGTGTGTACAGGGGTCAGACAGGACACTCCAGAGTCAGACACGATTAGCGAGTCCAGAGAAGGGCATTTCAGGAAGGACAGACTGAATATGACCTTACCTGAGAAAGAGCCATGCCTGACTCCTTTTCTTTCCTCTTCTTCAACTTCAGGGCTTCCTCAGGCAACACAAGTCTTCAGAGGTCTATCATGAAAGTGAAAACATGCTGTTTAATGCTTAGAGTCAACACATCCCCTTCCTGAGCCCCAACCACACACACAGGGAAGCCCTCACCATTAGGAACAGACAGTCCCCTGTGGCCACTGTCTCAGGAGGGACTCAGGAGAGTCAACTCCCACAGAGAGACCAACACCAGACTTTCCCACACTTTCCCTGGGATCACACTCCCCTCCTGGTGAGGCCTCATGTACACAGCAGCAGGGGGCACCTCCAAAGACCAGGCAATCTCTTTCAGGTCACACTGAAGGCCCTGATCCATCCCCATTCAGAACAGAGCACCCCCTCCTCAGCCCAGATCTCAGCCCTCAGGAATGAGAGGACTCACAGTCCTGATGCTCAGTGAGGGATCCAGACTGGAATGAACTGGGGCATCTTAAACATTCTCGAGGTGTGGACCAACACAAACTACTTGAAGGGGAATCTCTGGTCAGAGGGTACAAAACATGGGTATGCAAAATGCCTCATCAATGAAATGTGAAGCCTGGACTGAGCACCATTCAGAGAAGAAGAGCACCCCCAACTCTCTTTTTCTTTCCTAGCCTTACTTATGTGTAACTAACAAAAATGCTATAAATGTACTGTGTACAAAGTGATCATGTGACAGACTCATACACTGAATAATTATTAGTCCAGTAAGTTACACTTCCACCTATGAGTACACTGTATTATAACTCTCTGGGCGACTTTCAAGTATATAGAAACACTACAGGCAGCTTTTCCCTCCAAGAAGGCAGTGGAGACGGACTATACAGCCATGGCCAAGATTAAGGCTCGAGACCTTCGCGGCAAGAAGGAGGAGGAGCTGCTGAAACAGCTGGAGGACCTGAAGGTGGAACTGTCCCAGCTGCACGTGGCTAAATTGACAGGCTGCGCGGCTTCCAAAATCTCCAAGATCTGAGTGGTTCGTAAATCCATCGCCCGTGTGCTGACCGTCATTAACCAGACTCAGAAAGAGAATCTCAGGAAATTCTATAAGGGAAAGAAGTACAAGCCCCTCGATCTGCAGCCCAAGAAAACACGTGCCATGCGCCGCCGGCTCAACAAGCATGAAGAGAACTTGAAGACCAAGAAGCAGCAGCGGAAGGAGCGGCTGTACCCTCTCCAGAAGTACGCAGTCAAGGCCTGAGCTTCCAGCTGTCAATAAAACAGACAGACCACTGGAAAAAAAAAAAGAAACACTACAGGCAGCATGCAGTACCTCAGATCCCCAGAACTTACTTAGTTTACAACTGAAAATCTCTACTCTTTAATTAACAGTGTCCCATTTCCCCCCCCACCCAGCTCCTGGTAACAGCCTTATTACTCAATGGCTCTATGAGTTTGACAATTCTAGTTTCCACATACAGTATCTGTCCTCCTTTGTCAGGCTTATTTAACTTGGCATAATGTTTTCTAGGTTCATTCATTTTGGCATAAATGCAGGACCCTTGATTTTTATATTTATATATAGAGAAAAAATAGTTCATGAACATACAGTATTAAATAAATATTTCTACACCACACTTTTTTTACCTATTCTTTTGTCAAGAGACATCTGGCCTGTGTCTATGCCTTGGCTACTGCAAATCATCACACTCATGGGACTGCGGACATATCCCTGAAAAACTGATTGCTTTTCCCTTGAATATCTGTCAGAAGTGTGTTTGACAGACGGTAGGCCTCTTCTAGGTTAATTTCTTAAGGAATTTCCATTTTGTTTTCCAACATAGCAGTACCATTTACATTACCACCAACAGTGCAGTTAAGATTCCGTGTGTTCTGTACTGTGCCTGTGTGTGTGCTTATTTTGGGAGGTACAGTAGTGGATAACAGAGAACCCAGCACTGGCCTGGCAGCAAGAGAGTTGCAGCTGCATCTTCTAGAGGACGAGCCTCCGGGCTGTAGATCACTGTGGCATCGCTGCCCTCTCATTTATCGGAGCCATCTTCCCCTACATCACAGGACTTTATGACTCTTCTCAGGTTGGGCCCAGAGAGCCCTACCGAGCAGGACCAGCTTATAACAAGCATTCTGAGTGAGATCTTAACCTTAGTACTCCTAATTCCCCAGTGGACTCTAACAAACTTACAAACTTTCATGGTCTCTAGCAGTGTCCACAGAGCCCATAATGAGCCTCGAGCCCTCTTATACAAACTCAAAGCACTCCAAGCCCTGATAACTCATGCATGAGACAAAATACAAAAGAGGACACCCAAGGATCCACAGACACAAGACACCATATTTTCATTTACAGTGAGTGATCCAGGTGAAACACTGAAATCTCCAAAGACTATGAAAAAGAGGGATAATTCCAATGATGCCCATGGCCCAGTGAGACCTCAGCATCTTCCAAGGAAACACTCCAGATTATCTTGGCATCTTTCCAAACGCACATGAAACTTTCTTCACCAGGAACCCCAAGTACACAGTGATACCAAAGTTGATGCAAAAAATGACCTGAGATGTTCCCTGTTACTCTATGGTTGCTGCCTTCTAAAAGAGCCAACAAAAGCCAGGGAGTGGAGTGGATGCTGGGGGCACCTGCTAGAACCAGTCCCTCAAGCCCAAGGCTCCCATCCTCCTGCACGCACAGGTGCCTGTGGGCTCAGCCCAGGCCACTATTCTAACAGTGGAAAAGACTTCTCTGGGTCCAATTCCATGTCTTTCATTGCTGCTCACGTGTGGTCACGAGTTGTCCAATCAAACCTGTGCAGGCAAATCTCAGCCTCAGCATTGCTGTCCCAGGGAAGATGAGCTAAGGCATTACAACAGCTCAAACCATTCCATGCGGGTTCTTCAACAAACCCACTTCCAGGTTCTCCAGCCTGAACTGAGACATTCTTTTCCAACAGATCCACACACCCCTTTCCCCTGTAACTACACTTGGGATGGGTGCACGCTCCATTCCCTGGACTCACCTTGATGCTCCCAAGAACTGCAACAGGCCTCCTGCAGACCCCACTAGGCTCCCTCCACTTTCCCCATTTGTCTACCTCTCCTCCCTGCATGACTGGACTAAGCAAGACTAAAGCGCACAGGGGTTTCTTGGCAAAGGGAATCACAAGAGGAATGCAGACCAGCTACCACCCAAAGGACACTCACATTCAGTATGAAAATCAAGAAACTGGTCCTCCTGGGAAGGTCTGCCACCACCTGGGGACATTATGGAGTCCAGCTACAGAGAAAGGAATTTGAGATGAGGAAATCTCAATTTAAGGGTCTCCAGGTCTCACTATCTCTTATTCTCTCCATCCACACCTACTTGGAAGATATTCTAGCTCTTGCTTGAGGGGGTGGGGGGGGGGGGGACAGCGTCTCCTTCCAGCCCCGTTAGGTTTTGGATTTCTGCTCATCCTCAGTGCTCTGAAATCACAATCGCTGACACTGAGCACATGACCCTCTAGATGGCAAAGCTGCTGTCCACGATGGTGACTGGCCCCTGGATGGACAGAGCTTATCTGGGGGCTGCAGCAGACTAAACTCAGCAGACTAAACATGGGGACATCTTAGTCCACTGCTTGAGGACACCAGTTCTGGAGGGCTTTTCAGGACTTCCTATATTTCTTAGCTCTTCTTTTGAGTAATTAAGTAGTCACAAGGGTTAAAGGTCAATTACAGCTGAAATGTCTAGAACATGGGAAACATCTTCATCACCTGCCCTGTTCTCTTGGTCTTCCTTGAGGATTATTCAGCCCAACCCATAGTCCTGTCATCTAAAGACATTTCCAGGATCAGGTACTGCAGCCACGCTGGGAAGAAGAGGAACACTATGAGCCTTAAAAAGAGGGGAACCAGGAAGGACTCAAAATAACCCATGAAGAAGGGCAATAACCTCTACTGATGGCAACTGATACAGAGGCAATAAACCTGGGTAACAGGAGAGAGACTGATAGGAGGGGATGGGGAGACCTCTCTGAGCCTAGACTTGAAGGGAGACAAAGGGCCTGAGCCAGGGTGACTTGAAGGTGAGGAAAGGAACTACGATGTCCGACAGAAATGGTTTTGGTATTTGGAAACAGAGAAAAGGTAAATGAGAGCACGACAGGCTGAACCATGAGCAAAGGGTCAGCTCCCAGGATGAGGCTGGAGACACTGACAGGGCCCTGAGCTTGACAGAGGGCTGTGGAGCCACAGCGTGGAGTCAAGCTTTAGTCCCAAGAACAAATGAAAGCCAGCGGAGGTCTGAACGTCAGGACGTGAAAAAAACTCCCTTCAGATTTAGCCTTATTCATAGCAGTCATCTCATTTGGAGACTGTGATCCTGCCTCCATCCTACAGTTTCTCCTTTTCGTTTTTCATTCAGGGAGGGCTGGGATCTACTTAAAATTCTAGTTACCACCAGACACTCCCTCCAAACCAGAACTGCCACACACACTCACACACAGCCACTTTGGCTAATCATTTCAGGGGTCAGTGCTGCTCACGCTCCGAGTTTCCGGTCTAGTCTCTCATTTCCATGTTACAAGTGGGCTCCCTCAGGCCCAGAGAGAAGCCGTTTATGAGAAGGTCTGAGCTGAGTGAAGAGAACTGGGTATAACCGAATAATGAAACGGGAGGGTGAAGGGCAAGCGGGCCAGGTTTGTCCTTGTTGCCCGTCCCATTTAACACCAGGAACATCTGCCATGTATCTGAGCAAAAGAAACTTTTCTTTCACGGTTGGGTCAAACTGATACGAAGCAGGTAATTCTTTATTATAAGATTGCAGTAAAATATTTTAAAAATACAGAATTGCAAATGTCTATCCACTGGTACAAAACACATTCTAAGAGGTCAGCTTAGAAATAGGATCTGAGCAATCTTTTTCATCATGAATAGAGAGGCTCTGTTGGAAGGTTCCAGGTCAATCCAGCCCATCCTTCCTCATTTGCACAGCAGTCAAAAAGGGACCCAGGTCACCTACCTACGCGGGGTGAAGGGATGGGCTGACAGGAAAGGGGGTCCTGCGGGGCACAAGGAGCGGCGTAGGAGATGCGGCGTAGGAGATGCGAGGACAGAGGGGCTGCGAGGGAAGGGGTCTCAGGAGTGGAGCGGGCTCTCCGGAATTCCAGGACCGGGGAGAGGACGCGGCCTCTCCGGGAGCAGGGGCGAGGGGGTCTGCCTCCAGCGGTCGAGAAGGGGACGCGACGGGGAGGGGCGCAATTCCAACTCCTGAGAGAGGGCTTAACCTGGCGAGGCCAGAGGTAAAAAAGGGTTTTAAGCAGGAAAACGTCGCCAGAGTTGGTGTCCACGGGGACCGAGGGCCGAAACCGCCTCAGAAAAATAACTGGGCCTCAACGGCAGCGGCAGCGTTTATTCCGGGCCGAGCACCGGGTACCAGGGTTTTCAGGTCGCTGAGAATTCCCACACCCTGAGGATGAGTGAGCCGGCGTGGGCCGGGACGGGGAGGGTCGGGGGTGGCGGGCTCTGCACCTACCCTAGAAGGAACCTTAGGCGCAGCTGGGGGACCTCGGCTCCGCGCTCTCCAACTTCCGGGTCTGTGTGCTTTTGCTATTAGAGCCGCGGCTTCCGACGAGGGGCGGGGCGAGCACCCCAGTGAGGAGTGCCACTGCTCGAGGAAGGGGCGGGGCCTGTTACCTTGACAGGATTATGTTACATCTGTTTTTTTGTTTTTTGATGTCTTTGCTTTTTAATATGCTGTATAGGTTTACATTGTCAAAAATCAGAAAGAGAATAATACAACATATTTTTTAAAACCCTAAAGAATAGAAATTTCATAAGGGAAAACCTAAGGAACGAAACAAGTTTATACCTCCCATGTGTCTTCCCACTTTAAAAATTACACAGGAGCAGTAAATAGGAGAAATAAAAGAGCAGAAGTGGCTTTTAACCAAAACAAAAATAGCCCATTATTATACTCATGAACAGATCAGGTTAAACATAATAAATTCCAAGAGAAGATAATTTAGAAAAATGCATTTAATTATAAAAAATTTTTTTAAATAAAAAAGCAATGGCACAAATCATCACAAAGGTATTTAAGTGATCATATCCACAGGCTGCTCTTAATTAAACATTTCTGACTGTTCTCATTAGCAGCATTTTCCCCTCCTAATTAGAGTGACATCAAGAGCTTCTGAGAATGCTCAATGTTTCCTAAAGTCCTACTAAAAAGTATCATAAACACAGTTTGTGCAACATTCATGTACATCACTTTTATTCACTACACTCTAAACTCATAAAATATGGAATATTTCTCTCTCACTTCATTCCTCTTATTTACAGTATGGAGGCTCATTTCTTATCATTATATGGTTTGTGCATTAAAATCTCTGGGAATGGTCTTCCCACAGCATTTTAATAAATTTGCTCTGATTAAAATAAGTACACAAAAGCTTGTTCATATGATGGTGTCATACTCAGAAGAATAATTCTTCCTGCAACTCATTTATGAGTAAAAAGGAAAAAAAAAAAGATTCCTCTTTCAGCAGAACACATTTTCAACAATGACTGGATCACACTACTGCACGTATTTCTACTGCTAATACGACAACAGGGAAAGCCAGCTACGACTTTTTCATTTAGGAGACTACAGCATACACGAAATGATCTTCCACTCTCTCATTATCCATAATCCAGTTATTCCACATGGATATATTTTATTTATTCTGAGTACGTAAGTCTCAAACAGTGCAGTAATAATTGGCAGTTTCTGACAGTTCTATTTTCTTGATATTGGATACAGTTCTGAGCACATATGTCAGCTGAACTGAAAAAAAATGCAAGTCTCTTCATATGATACAGCAGTAAGAAGTGGGATGCCACTGTCTGAACAAATGACTCAAACAGATGAATATTAATGTACAATAGAGACAGAAATATTGCTGAACTCAGTCTGTTTCCAGAGGTACTATCTTCACATCTTGCCATACCTGATCCCGGTTATCTTTCCAGTTGAAAAACAAACCCATCTGGGGAAAGGCAGGCATCAGGAGAAGAGAAGGGTGAAAATCCACATTATTACTGTATACATCGTTTCAGAACAGAAACAGAGGGGGAAGAGAGTATATTTTCATATTAAAAAAGGATGTCGCATCTGGACACATTCCATGGAGTGGATGAAAATAGCATGTAAGCTAATTAAGCGCCTTTCTTCTCACTCCAGAGATTTTTCCTAATATGAATAATAATAACTAACATAATCTGGCAGCAGCACAAATCTACAACTTTTTAAGGCTCAGTGTGTGACTATTCAAGAGTAGGGTATATCTGAATAATAAGAGTCCCACCATTTATTTTGTTTACACTCTTGACCCAGCAAGTATGATTAAGGGAGTCCTTATGTCTATCTTCAGCTTAAATCTTCTATGACGGCTTTGACTTTATAACCCACTCAGCCCTGGGGTTGAGTTGATATAAGTCCTTCATGTAAGTGTCGTCATCGAGGAAGCGTTCCCCAATATTTCCTCCAATTTCATACAAAAAAACTTCCCCATTCTTGAGAGTCTGGGCAACTCCACTTTCTTGGCTGAGAAACCTGGCAAGTACATCACTGGCTTTGAGTTCTTCAGTTAGCTGTATTGCCATGGAAACTTTCGAGAGATGGGGAGCTTGTACTCGAATCACTCCCTGAGGAACGTCAGCATCATTTGCACTCTTATCTTGTTTTTCATATTTTTCTCGATCATAAGCCATTTTCTTCAGCAATTTCTTCATAGCTTTTTTATCTTTTCTATGATTTTCCGTGTTTTGCTTCCTCACTTGGTTGACAATAAACTTTGGAATTGTCCACAGGAGTTTTTGATACTTAATCAGTAAGTGCATGATATTAGCTATCCCAGCTGCCATTACAAATTCTCTCTGTTCGCCGGACTTCAAACCCAATGTGTGATACATGAAGAGATTTGGGGCCATGACCATTGCTACATTCATGACTGTCATCTTATTTTTCTCTTTATTGTCTACGACTCTTTGGAGAAATTCAAGCAGGGCCTTGAGTGTGTCTCTGTTTGCATCGGGCAGGAGGATGACAAGAAGGTTCAAAGCCTGTAGTTGTTGCGTCCTGGTTGGAAGATTCTGGACAGCCTGGAAAGCTTTGAGATATTCTACACTGAGCAGCGGCTGGGGGAGCTCCCGGATAAAGAGCTTCAGCAGGCTGGTGGCATCATGCTGTTTGACACTTTCCCAATTAAAAGTCCCTTCATAGAACTTAGCTTCTAGTTCTTGGCAAAGATTCTTGATTCGAACAGCAGCTCCAGGGATTCTTAAGAGACCTTCGGTTTCCAAACCTCCCTCTTCAATGCGAGAAATCAGTTTTTGAAATATCAAGGGTATTCGAGTTCCTGGTACTTTCTTCTGATCTTGTTCTAACAATACTGACAATGGGACACAAAAAAGGCCAGAATCTTTTGTTTTGATTTTCACAGCTTTCTGTTGTTTCAGTTCAATACCCAAGACATCATAGAGGGCAGTCAGCTCAATTAGGGCTAAATGGCAAACTTTCTTCATGTCCTGGGGCACCAGGTCACCAATCCTGGTGGTGCCTGTTTTGTCCTTTGGCACTCTGTAAGTCAGTAACATGGCATCGTCACCCTTGGTCCTCTGGATCTTCTCCCTGGAGCTCTCTTTCTGACTGACAGCTTGCTCTGCAAATGATACCTCCAGGTTGATGTCTGTTTCAGAGGCAGGTGCCTCCTCGGGCACCAGTGGGGTTAGGTCCTTTCCACCAACACCTAGGTGAGATGCCTGGTCATCTTTTCCTCGGTATTTGTTTTCATCTGTTCCGACTGATTGTGATTCTGTGCCATCTGGAGCCTCCTTTTCTTTTGACCCTGTCTGTTGAGCAAATATGTCTCTGACGTCAGGGACCTGGTACTGTTCGTTTTTTTTCCTCAGGGTCTGGGAGACTGTCTCTACTCGTTTCTGAACAGCTGCCGCCTGCGTTCGGGTCAGCGTTGATAAAAACACCAATGCTCTCTTGGGGATCTCCAGCAGCCTCTCCAAAGAGATTGGACAAACCAGCCTCCTTAAGCCACTCTTCTTCCAACTCTCCCGCATCAGGCTCTTTGACAACCACCACCTCGATCATCTTGTCTGTTCTCATGAGATTTCTTGATATTTTCTATTTCAGTCCAATAAGCTTCCATACAGAGTTCATCCAAGGAATCCTGGGAACCTGATCGATCAAATGGAGGTCTTTCTGTGACTTTAGTGACTTCCTGCTTCATAGTATACTGGCCATATCTTCTACTGGAGGCGGCTTCCTCCCCGCCCTTGCCATGGCTCCCCCCCCCAGGGCCTGGTTGTTGCCGCTGGGGTGGTAGGCAGTGAGCACAACCGCCTGGGAATTGGAGAGCCAGCTCATGGTGAGAGAAGGGACATAATTCCTGCGATCCTGACACAGAGCAGGGAATGAAGTTCGTGGCTTGCCGGGCCACTCGGCTCATTAGCCTATGTTACATCTGTAACACTGCTCAGGTAAAAGCTTCAAGTTATGTCAGAAGCCAAGATACTTCCTCTTAAGACTAACAGGGTTTATTCTCAATAAAAAGTTGTTGGTCACAGCATGTTGTGCTCAGATCCTGCTAGTGAAGCTGAAGCAATTCAGGGATCTGGGAACTTGGGCAGTTGTAAGAAACAAGAATGGGACTAGTCTCTACATTACAAATACAAAACTTTCCCTGGGTAGAAATGGGCTATTCCCTACTGACACCCTACAAAACAGCAAACTCAGCATAGTACTGAGTTCAACAAAATCAGGGTCAGTACCTGGGTGACTGAGATGGAGGACTTAAGGGATGTGATCATTTGGGTCACTAACCACAGCCTTAAAAAGAGCAAGACACTTTAAATGATTATAAACTGTGTTATTGTTTCTTTTATCCAACGTGTTTTAATTATTTCCCTTTCTAAACCCAACTCTCTAAACAGTGACATAAAGGGAGTTGTACAAGCAACTCTTACAATGACAAATATCATTGTATAAGTTTAAGCTACAAAGAAAAATTAATATGTATACTGTGAAACGATTATCACAATGTTTACCTAGCATCCATAATTTTGTATAGATAACCTAAAAAAAGAAAGCAAAATAGGAGAAAAATTTTTTTTTTCTTTTGATGAGAACTGCATTATTCTTTACAATGCTCTATCCTATACTTTGGAGGAAGTGCTTTGACTCCTAGGTGTGTCAGATTCTTTGTGACCCCATGGACTGTGGCCTGCCAGGCTCCTCTGTCCATGGGACTCTCCAGGCAAGAATACTTGAGTGGGATGCCACGCCCTCCTCTAGGGGATCTTCACAACTCAGAGATCGAACGTACGTTTTGTGCACTGCACGCGAATGTACTGTCTGAGCCACCAGGGAAGCCCGACTGTCAAGTATCTTTCCCAAAAACTTGTTTAGGAAATTACACTAAACTAAATATCCACAATGTAATTTCAAATTGATCATATGTTCAGTATGAACATAATTAGAAATTTTCACTTTCTATTTGAAAGTTGTAATATATTTTAGGTCTTTATTTTCCCAGCTATGACAAATCTAGACAGCATATTAAAAAGGAGACATTACTTTGCCCAAAGGTCTGTATAGTAAAGCGACAGTTTTTCCAGTAGTCATGTATGGATATGAGAGCTGGACCATAAAGAAGGCTGAGTGGTAAAGAACTGATGTTTTTGAACTGTGGTGTTGGAGAAGACTCTGGAGAGTCCCTTGGACTGCAAGGAGATCAAACCAGTCAATCCTAAAGGAGATCAATCCTGAATATTCACTGGAAGGGTTGATGTTGAAGCTGAAGCTCCAATACTTTCGTCACCTGATGTGAAGAGCTGACTCATTAGAAGAGACCCTCATGCTGGGAAAGAGTGAAAGTGGGAGAAGGAGGGGACAACAGAGGACGAGATGTTTGAATGGCATCATCAACTCAATGGACATGAGGTTGAGCAAGCTCTGGGAGATGGTGAAGGACAGGGAAGCCTGGCATGCTGCCGTCCATGGGTTTGCAAAGAGTCGGACATGACTGTGCAAATGAACAACAACGTTCTCTCAAATGTGGGTAACAAAGTCTGAAAAATACAGTCTTCCGAAGATTTGGGATTTATGGATGAACTCCATACCCCCATCAAACCATGGGATGTAATCAACATTTTCAGAATATTTAAAAATGGCAGATTACACTTATTTTCAAAAACACATGTCAAAATAGCAATATCTTCTTAGATGCACTTCTAGTAGCCAACTCCCACACTTAGGTTTGTTTCAGAGCAGGCTGTTTGATATGAAATCTTGTAGGCATTCTTTTCCTCATAGCTGAGTCAAAATCCTCAACATGATCAGAAGCTCCCATTACTATGACTTGGCACCTGGGATCCATATCCAGTCCATCCCAAAACTCATAAACTGAGCTTTCATCATGGCTAGGCTCCAAGGTCAGAAACTGAACATTCTCATGATCAGATTGCTCAAGTCCTAATACCTGAACTCAATGTAAAGGTTTTCCCACACTTATTGCATTTGGGATGTGTTGCTCCAGTATGTTCCCCAACTTGTGATCTTTGGGTAAAAGCCTTGCCACACACTTTACCTCTGTGTGCTTTCTTTTCAAGATGAATATTCTGCCATCTAGTGATAAATGAACAATAACATGAAGTTTCGCCATATCCACTGCAATTTAAATCATTAAGTATTTGGTAAATCTAAGGCACAACCTAAAAGCTATTCAAAATTCAGTAGATTAGTACTGTTTGGTGCAGTATAAACAACTTGACTACTGGTGCAAGGGGCACCAATGAGAATAGGTTGCTCACATTCCTGGCACTGGTGATGAACTTTTTTAGAATGAATAGATTTTCAACGGCCTGACCACATTCAATATCATCTGCGCTCGATCCAGTGTGAATATTCTCATGAAGCATAAGATATGAACCACTGCTGAAAGTACTGCAACCTCAACTGTATTTTCAAGGGCTCTCACCACTTACATCATCTGATGGCAAGTTAGGCTTGAAAGTACACTGAAGAATTTATGACACTCATTACATCTCTAATGTTTCTTTCCATTGGAAAAGACCCTGATGCTGGGAAAGATGGAAGTCAGGCGGAAAAGAGGATGCGATGGTTGCATGTCATCAAGGACTTAACGGACAGGAGTTTGAGCAAGTCCTGGAGATGGTGAAGGGCAGTGAACCCTGCCTGCTGCAGTCCATAGGGTTGCCAAGAGTCCGAGAGGACTGAGCGACTTGACCAGGAGCCACTCCAGTATTCTTGCCTGGGAAATCCCACGGACACAGGAGCCTGGGGGGCTACATTCCCTGGGGAGCTCAAAGAGATCTGACTGAGCACTGCAACCATTTAATATTTCTCTTTGATTCTAATGCTCATACAAGTAACCAGCATCACAGAAAATAACCTCCTAAAATGAAGAGTCTTTGTAGTCAGTTTACTACCATGGTCACATAAAACAGAAAGGACAGTAATACGCCTCCCTAACCCTCGAGAAAGAACTCCAGCTCCAGCACCAGTCCCAGTCCCAAAGCTGAAATTCTGAACTAGTTCCTGAACATGTGATTTGATACTTATAAAATTATCAAGTGCCATGTCAAAATTAAAATGACCTTTTCCTTATAAATTACTACGTATTTCGTGCACTGTATGTGTTACCTCAGGATCTTACCTCGAGAGGAAATCAGAGCCTGGGCCTCTCACAGCAAACGACTTAATTTATTTCGGCTAGAGGAAGGGGTCGGGGAATAGGGAGGTGCGAATTGACTGGAGATCACGGATAGGGAGGAGACGGGACCCCACAGGCGCAGCTTAACAACAAAAACAAAAATAAACAAGTACCTAAGGTTCCCAGTGGTCGGCAGCACCTACCAAGTCTGGGCTTCAGGAATTTGCTGTAGAATGGCTTGCACCTAAGCGGAGATGGGAAATTCCTCAGCCACTGGTATCAAAACAGGGAGGGGCGGGGCGTTAGGATACAGGCCTGCTCCTGGGCGTGTGAGGGGCGGGGCCGAGCGGACACCTGCTGTGTTCTTCCTTTTGGTTCCCAGGTATCTTGTCAGGGTTTAGAAGTATGTGAGGGTCTTTCCTGTCTTGTGTTGCATCATTGATTCCTCATAACTGTAGCAGTTTTAAAGTAAAAACTTAAAATTCTGTGGGATAATTGCGTTGGAAAGTAAGGTTTCCTCTTAACAGGATTCCTGCTGATGAGGCTGAAGCAGTTCAGCCTGGGAACTGAAACCTGGTGTGGTGGCTGAGCTCAGGGTGGGTAGGGGTGGGTGGGGGTTGATGTGCAGTGGTGGCTGGACCCAGAAATATTCCTCCAATTAGAATTAATTTAAGCAGTTTAAGTGAACAAGAACTGGCTTTGTGTAGGGGTGACAAGCTGGGATGTGAAACACACAGCTCTTAGTAACACCTCATAGTAACTCCTGTAAGGAGAAAAATATCTTGACATTCCACTTCTTCAAAGATCAAGCTTATTAGTCACTGCAGCGGCCCAACGACAATGCACCCTGAGGAGAATGCAGGCTGGAGAAAAACAGGTACCATTCGGAGCTTCAGACATAGTAGCCTTGGTAAATCAGCAACAGCCTCTTGGGCCCATCCTCCTCCTCAGGAAGTCCAGGTAAGTTTAGGCGAGTCTCTCCTGGTTTTCAGATCTCCCAGTTATGCGGTGATGACCCCAAATTTTATTTGGCAGGGTATTAATGGTTAAAAGACACAGGAGGATCCTGGCTGAAAGACAGTGGGATTTGCTCAGTTGAAAGCCACTCACTGACACTTCCCTGGTGGTCCAGTGATAAAGAATCCACCATGCCAATGCCTGGGACACAGGTTTGATCCCTGGTCTGGGAGGATACCATGTGCCTTGGAGCAACTAAGCCCGAGCAACACAAGTACTGAGCGGGTGCTCTAAAGCTTGTGCTCTGCAACAAGAGTAGCTACAGCAGTGAGAAGCCAGCGCAGCAATTAGAGTAGTTCCTGCTTGCTGCAACTAGAGAAAGCCCACGTGCAGCAAAAAAGGTTCAGCACAGCCAAAAGAAAAAAAGACATTGAGTGATCTGGACCGACCAAAACAAGGAGATTCAGAATGCCAGTCTCCAACCAAACACCAGCCACGTTTCTGTATTTTATGTACAGAATTTATAGCCCCTGCTCGACACAAGGAGAGAAAAGCCAGGGGCACAGTGAAGAAACAGCACAGCCAAAAATAAAACTTAAAAGTTATTAAAGAAGAGAGAAAAAATTTCCTGTAATGAGAACTGTGTTCTTCTTTATAGAAACGGTTTCTATTCCATGCTTATGATGACATAGACTCAAATGCTTTTTAGAAAAACATGTTTACATCATAATATACAAGTGAATACTTCCTCAATGTAATGGAATGTCAAAAATTACTAGATGATCATTTGATGGTAATTAGGCAGTTTTAATTTTTGTTTAGAAATTATATATCCTCTCTTTTCTTTGCGGTTTCCAAAAGCTCTGTCAGATGTGGACAACAAAGCAGACTACAAAATAACATCTTGAGAAGACATTCCAACTTATTTTCACCAAAATTATCACCAACTTTGCACTATTTATAAATATTTCTATGTGTAGTAACTGACTGAACTCAAGTCCTAAAGGAACTTTCTTCATGTTAATAGGGCAGCTACTGTGTTCCCTGTCATTGTCCCATGTGCATTTTCACATTAAAAAAGTCTCAAAATAACCCACTGACTTATGTATTTGTTAGTGTAAGGCAGAGAAGAAATGTAAATTAAACTTTAAATCTCGGTCACAACATGTGGACAGAAAAAAGATCGCTAAGGAAAAACTTGAAAAAACAAAAGAAATAGGGTAGCATGATTTGAGAGAATCACATTGAAACATATCAATTACCATATGTAAAATAGATAGCCAGTGGGAGTGTGATATATGACTGTGCATCCAGAGCCACTGCTGTGTGACAACTTGGAGGGACAGCGTGGGGAAGGAGGGAGGGGACACACGAATGCCTATGGCCGATTCATGCTGAGGTATGGCAAACACCATCACAATATTAAAAACTCAACAAAAAGGAAATTCTACTATAGCTGACAAGGAACTATGGAGCACATTTATTAATTTTCTAATGTTACATCAACATTTTAATATCCTTTGGAAAACTGGACTTCTATTTAGTATTTATTAATACTAAATATTTCCAAACATTACTGTTCACTAGGCTAGTGTAAAAATGTCTTAGGCAACAGATAGTAAATAATGATTTTTCTGTTTAGTAAAACAGATAAATAGTAATTTACTACCATCTTCAGCAACCATATAGAACAATGGAACATATCTGTATGTCAGGAAAAGGAATGTAACAAATTCATAGCATGAGGAAACATTCAGTGTTTTGTTAAAGAGTCTCACTGGTTTTTCCGATATTTGACTACTGATAGCTTTAGACTTTAAAACCAACCACTTCCTATGCTGCCTATTTGGGCAGGCTGAGAAATTCCCATCAGGTTGGAAGTCTATAGTGCTCCGAGTAGAAAGCTTCATCAATTAACAAACATTCTCATAACATATCATCTGTCCCAGTATCCAAACCAAACTTTGGGTTTGGTTCCATCTTGTGCTTTCGGTGACTTCAAAGTAACAAGAACAAAAATGTTGGGGATCAAATGTATGAAATTTCCAGTTTATCAAACAAGCAAAAAATGCCACCATGTAGTGTGCATTCCTAATTATTTCTGGGACTTCCCTGGTGACTCAGTGATAAGGACGCAGGGGTCAATGCCTGGTCCAGGAATTCCCACATGCTGTGGAGCCACTAAGCCCCTAAGCCACAACTGTTCAGCCAGTAATAAATAAACAATCAAGAAGAAATTACTTCAGAATTCTCCAAGGTCAAAAAGAGATACCACGTTTAACCTTAGTTCTGAAGTTTATTTCCTAATATTTTACATGTCTATTTTCCTATTTTCACTTCATGTAAATCAGGCGCATACTATTGGTTTCATTTGGGAACAAAAGAGGACATTGGGAAATATCATACGGGAACATCCATAAACAGGGGAGTAGGTTTTAGGGGGCCAGAGTCTATAAAAGCTCCACTATGGACAGAGTATGGTAAGAATAACTCAAGTGCAAATTATTAGTCTATAATCCCCAAATTAACTATTCTTTGATTTCACCATGCAAAGAAACTCTAATAAATTCTTTCAACCTTGAGTGTCTTTGGGGCCTTACTAGTTCTGTTATGAAGAATTGAAATGGGATAAAACTGTGTTGTTTGAAGAAAAATGATTGTTGTGAATAAAGAAATATTGGTTATACAAATATAGGTAACTCCTTCAAAATATTGATTTTTCACAGGACATTCCTGGTGGTCACAGGAATTCCAGGTTAAGAATATGCCTTGCCACAAAGGGGACTCAATCCTTGTTCAATCCTTGGTTGGGGATATAAGATCCCACATGCAGCAGAGCAACTAAGCCCAGGTACCGCAAAGGCAGAGCCAGCATCCTTCAGAGCCCCCAGGCCACGATGAGAGGTCCTGCTTGCTGCAAAACAGATCTCGTGATCCACAGCTAAGACCCACTGGAGTCAAATAAATAAGTATTTTAAAAAATATACTCATTCTGCTTCCTTTGGGTATATAATCAAAAGTGAGGCTATGAGATCCTGTGCATGTTCTCTTTTTAATATTTGAGGATCCTCCATATTGTTTTCCATGGACTATTTACATTCCTACCAACCATTCACAATAATTCCTGTTTATCTGAACTGTGCAGGTATGTGGCACATGCATGTGATTTGGAAAGACATGGAGAGAAACCCCTGCACTGGCAGCAAGAAATAGCAGGCACATCATCTCCAGAATAAGCCTTTGTACTACAGATTGCTATGGAGCTGATGGTCCTCGGAGTCTACGAATAATCCTTCCCTTGTCTGTGAGCTAAGTCGCTTCAGTCATGTCTGACTCTGCGACCCTATGGACTGTAGTCCACCAGACTCCTCTGCCCATGGAGTAGGTTGCCATGCCCTCCTCCCAACTCAAGGATCAAATCGAGTTTCTTATGTCTCCTGCATTGGCAGGTGATTCTTTATCACTAGCACCACCTGGGGAGCCCGATCCTTCCTTACATTGTGAGATTTCATGGCCCCTCCCTAAAGAAATCCCTCTGCCATCAAAGTTTAGCACCATTTTCCTTCTAGGTTGAAAGACCCTTATGAAATTTCATCTGGTTCAACACACTCTCCACACATTCAGTAATAATCCATCCATCGTGCTATGCAATCCCCGGAAAGATTCCAAGGTTTAACAACTCATGCATTTATGATGAAATAGTACACATGAAGGCGCCCAAGCAGCAGATCGGATTCAAGACAGCTTCTTATCAGTCACAGTGACCTCAGCCAGCCCATAAGCTGTCATCTCCAAACTCTAATAATAACAAGCAGATGTGTAGGCTGATGCACATGCCCCAGTGAGACTTCAACATCTTCCAAAGATACACTCCAAGGTCTTTTTTCCCTTCCAAATGCACCGGAAAACTTCTTCATTACAATGAAAACCTACTTTCATTCTGAAAATAACAGAAAATACTAAAAGTAAGCAACAAAATCATCTCTGGGATTTCACCGACAGTTATTCTACAGGTTGCCTAATGATTCTTGCCCTTCCAAAAGACATCACAAAATCCACTCCATGGAGTCGATGCTGTGGGGAACCTTCTGGATCCCACCTCCAGGACCAATGCACCCATCCCTCCCCGTGGGCTCAGCTCAGGCCTTGATTCTAACACACTGCAGGGTAACAGTCCTCTTCCCAATTCCACTTTCTTCCTTCCTCCACAGGTGTGATCATGACTTTCCCAATCAACCAACACATGCAAAGCTCAGTCTCAGCATCTGTGTCCAGGGAAAGTGAGCTAGGACATTATGGCATGCCCACCCTTCCAGGCAACCCACAATTAGCCATGAACCACATCCAGGTCCTCCAGTCAAAGCTGAGACCACCCTTGTCAGCAGTTCCACACAGTGTGATCCCACAACTGTTGCCGTGAAGAGCCAACTGTGATTCCAAGTTGGAACGGTTTCTTTGCCTTGCTTCTCACTGCTGTGGTTATTGTAATCATCCATAATGGCTGGCCTCAGAGGACCCTACCTCTTGGCCTGACTGTTCAACTAAAGTGCCTTTGTTGAGCTCACAGGGAGATACTCTGACCTCCCAACCTGTGAATGGTTTCAGGAAAGAAGAGATGAACACAGAAGGCTGGCTGTCCCTGAGATGTACTGCAAGACGGATGGCCCTTTTTACCGTACTTCCCCACTGCCTCTCCCTCCCGATCCTCCCTTCTGACTTTATTTCCTCACTGTTTCTTTCTCTACTTTCATAAAAGAATCTGGCATCCAGACACCAAGAAGTTGGCTATTTTGAGATATTAGCTAGCCATCTTCTTGGTCGGCTGGTTTTCAAAATGAAGTCCCATTGTTTTCCTCAAGAAGTCATCTCCCCGAAGCACTGGCCTCTCTCACAGGCAGCAGAGTGAGCTTGAACTGGGTCACACCACTATGCTTGCAACATGCATACACCATTCAGAGGGCTCATCCAGAGGCCGAAACTTGCCTCCTCTCACACCTCTCCTAGACCCCCGATAGCTTCCTCTCCACTTCTCCACATTTTGTCACCGCTTTTCTGTGCTCTGTTAACCAACAGGGCTAAACAGCAGAGACCACTGGGCCTGAGCATCACACAGAAACACACAAGCCGCAAATACAAGGGCACTGGGCGCTCAGTATGGAGACCAAGAAACTGGTCCTCCTGGGAAAACATGCCGGGAACTGGGGATATCACAAAGTTTCAAAGGCCCTTGAGATTTGGGTCAATTGAGCTCAGTGAAGAAGTCATAGAGAAAGGCCCCCAATCTCACTGCCGCCTGTTGTCCCTGATTGAGCTAATTGGAAGATACCCCAGCTCTTTAAGGAAGAGGCGCCTCCCTCATAGCCCCTTAGATTCCAAAGGTTCTGGCCACTCTAACCACAGTAAAATCAGTATCCCCCACTCTGAGTAGATTACTATATGATCACTTGATGGTAATTAGGTAATTTACTTCTTGTTGAAAAACTGTAATATATTTTCTCTCATTTCTTTGTTGTCTGTTTCTGAAAGATCTGTCAGTTGTGGACATCAAAGCTTGTTGTAAAATATAAAGTCTTAAGAAGACATTAGAATTGATTTTCACCAAAATTATCAACTTGGCACTATTTATAAATATTTCTGTGTGTATTATCTGTGTGAACTCAAGTCCTAAAGGAACTGTCTTTCTTTACATGTACAGGGCACCTACTATGTTCCCTGTCATTGTCTATGTGCATTTTAATGTTACAAAAGTCTCAAAATAACCCACTGACTTATGTATTTGTTAGTGTAAGGCAGGAAAGAGATGTAAATGAAACATTAAATCTGGGTCATAACATGTGGATAGGAAAAATAATGCTAAGGAAAAACTATTGAAAAAAACAAAAGATAGAGGATGGCAGGATTTAAGAGATTAGTACTGAAACATATATATTACCATATGTAAAAGAGTCAGTGGGAGTTTGATGTATGAAAGAGTGCTCTGGGACAATCTGGAGGGATACGGTGGCAAGAGAGGTGGGCTCAGGAGGGAGGGGACATATGCATGCCTATGGCCTATTCCTGTTAATGTACAGCAAAAACCATCACAATATTGAAAAAAAAATTTTTAAAAAATTAACTGATGGTGAGTTAGGCCTGAACACAGAATCAAAGCTTTCCCACACCTAACACATTTGTGTAGTTTTCCTCCAGTTTGAATTTTCTGATGGTCAAAAAGTTGATATATTTTACTGCATTCTCTACATGTGTAAGTTTTCACTGCAGTTTGGATTCTCAGATGATCTGCAGTGTCATTCCTTGTGACTGAAGGGTTTGCCACATAAATAACATTTATGTGGTTTCTCTTCTGTATGAACTGCCTGCTGAACATGCACTAGAAACTCTGCCACATTCATTCCACTTGTATGTTTTCTATACAGCATGGATTCTCTGAATTATAAGACCTTTGTACCTTAAAGGTACAAAAGCTAAAGGCTTTGTACCACTCACGACATTTGCACTAAAATGTTTCTTACAACTATCATATTTCTAATGTTTCTCTCTAGTGTGAATTCTCTGATGGTTTCTAAGTTCATCATTTCAAGTAAAGCACCAGCCATATACATCATATTTATATGGTTTCTCTCCTGTCTGAACTGCCTGATGATGAGTCATGGATGACGACTGTGCCTAAATGGTTGTCACAATTTTTATATTTATAAGGTTCTCTCCAGTATGAATTCTCTGATAAACTGCAAGGTTTGGATTCACACTGCGAGTCCTGCCACATATACCTCATTTATATGGTTTCTCTCCAGTATGAACTCTCTGATGAATACCAAGGTTTCCAGTACAAACGAACGCCTTGCCACATACATCACATTTATATGGTTTCTCTCCAGTATGAACTCCCTGATGAACAGCAAGGCTTGATCTTACACTGAAAGCCTTGCCACATATACCACAATTATATAGTTTCTCTCCAGTATGATCTCTTTGATGAACAGCAAGGTTTCCAGTACGACTAAAAGCCTTGCCAAACACATCACATTTATAAGGTTTCACTCCAGTATGAATTCTCCAATGAAGTCCAAGTTTTGCAGTTTGATTAAAAGCCTTGCCACATACATCCCATTTATATGGTTTCTCTCCAATATGAATTCTCCAATGAATTCTTAGTTTTCTAGTTTGGTTAAAAGCCTTGCTACACACATCGCATTTATATGGTTTTCCTCCTGTATGGATTCTTTGATGTCCAGTGAGTTCTGAGTCCTGAAGAAAGGTTATGTCACACTCATTATATTTGTAAGGTCTTTTCTTTTGTGTTTCATGGTCTGGTAACAGTTCTGAAGGATGCAAAACAGCTTTTTCATGTTTATGAGAAAAGCCTTTGCAGACATTACGAGTTCTCTGAGGTGGTAATCCTGAGGCACCGATGTTTGTCACAACTTGACTACATTCAAAAATTATCCCTTCAGATTGTACCACCTGCAATTCATTCTGAAAGCTTGATCCGTGCCTTTCAAAAGGTCTATTTCCTACATCAATTCTACTATGATGATTTCTTCCATCAGTGAGGTTTTTGTTATGGGATGTAGACATTCCTTTGTCATTTCTTTCATCATCCGCCCACAGACAATCAAAGTCATGTATATTTTCCTAGATCTTTCTGAGGTGAAAATCTTTGATTTCAAGGCTTTCAGCTCTTCTTCCACCACTTCTGCAACGACACTCAAAGTCATACACGTCTTCCTGGATTTCCCTGAGGTAAAAATGTTTGATTTCATGACTTTTAGGTCTTCCCAAGATCGCTGTTTGGAATACTTCTCCTGTATCACTGTCTGCTTTGGTTTGTAATTGGTTGACCACATGTATTGGATAGATATGTACAAGACAGAAAGAATCCATTCACTAAAATTCATCAATAAGTGTCTCAGTATCTATTACACCAAAAGTAATACTTATATCACAGTTATAAAACTTTTTCCAACTATGTAATATTTTTCATTTTAAAAAAATTTTGAAACTTTCCAAATATGAACTTAAAATTCTGAGAAACACTAGAGCAATAAACTTGTTTACTAAAAATAACAGTTGTAAAAGATAATTCAAATTGATTTCAGGGAAGAATACTCACAAACAGCCTATGACAAAAACACTAATGCTAGAAAAACATGTCAGCTCACAAAAAAAACACAATTTTTCCACCATGACTTCAAAGCATGTACCAATTAACAGTAAACATACTGCAGTCTCATAATTGAGGAAAAAAATGTATTCTACTATAGATATATCCTGCATACTTATTGTACACAAATAAATGCTAATGAACACACAATAAATATACTGTAATGCTAAAAAATCCAAAATGAGTTTATCTAATAATATGTTGCTATTTACAAATTATAATATATATACCATAGAGAAAAAAATTCAATAGTACAGTTTTTATGAAACAAAATCTTTCTAAATATGTCCTACAAAATGACACACCCATAATAGGCATTTTGCAACATTAACAAGTAAAAAAAAAATTATAGAAATAATTAAAGACTTCAAAGCAATTATAAGATACAACATCAGCATGCAAACCCAATTGGGTTTCTAAACATTAAAAATGAACAATCAAAGTAATTCAATTGACAAGAAAACTAAAAAAAGAATACTTAATTATAACATTATACAAGAAGGGAAGAATGTTTATATTGCAAACTAAAGAGTTCTGAAAAATATGAGAGAAGAATCAAATAAATGTCAATACCCCACGCTTCACGGATATAAAGTTGATATTGTCAAGATGTCAATACTAGTCAAAGTTAACAAAAGATTCAAAACAATCCCTAGTGAAATCCGAGCACTGCTTTGCTTAAGCAATCCTACAATTTTGAATCAATCCTACAATTCCTGTGGAATCACAGAAGACAATGAATAGCAAAAACAAACTGGAAAGCAAAGTCAGACATCTCACATTTCTTTATTTCAAAACTGATTCTAAAACTATACTAATCAAAGCAGTATGGTACTGATATAAAGACAGACACCTGGGGAACCCAACAGATTCAGAAAAATACTTTTGTCTGTTAGGTCACATGATGTTCCACAATAGTGTTAAGACCAAGTAATGGGGGAAGGGCAATCTATGGAACAAAATGTGTTGTGAAAACTGGATATTCACATATAGAATTGAGCTGGAGCATTATTATACACTATAGACAAAAATTAACTCAAAATGCTTCAAAGACCTAAAACTCAGTCCCTAGTGTATAAGGCTCCTATAAGTAAATGAACAGAAAGTGATTCTTGACAGTGGATTCACCAATGATTTATCAGATACAACACCAAAAGCTGATGCCAACAAAATAAAGAGATAAATTTCACACATCTTAATTATCAAACATTGTGCAGTAAACCATCCTCAGCAATGAAAAAACAAAGTCCACTATAACACAAAAAATTTGCCAATCATATATCCAATAATAGTTTAACATCAAGAATACATAAATAACTCTAAAAAGTACTGATCACCAATTCCACCATCAGGGTGGGGGAACTTTCTCAACCAACCATCCCATGTATTGCAAATAAAATACAAAGAGTAACATAAAATAGAAACTTAATGATAAAAATAAGAGACAATCATTTATAATGCATAAAAATATAAAAAAAGGAAAGTAGCAATGCCTTGAAAAAAATGATGGTTCATCACTGAAGTTATCAATCCACTACATAAGCTCTGTCATTAAGTTGCTACAAAATTAAGTGTGGAGGCAGAATGATCAATAGCACACAGGTGACAAGCATGCAGCATCAGCAATAGTTTAGTCAACAGCCTCACAAACATGAGGGTGTGAACCTGGACAATACCGTTTCTTAGGAGAAGTTCCTACACCTCTTGGTGAGGCTCAAAGGGCATGGTGATAATACACATGGTGATAGTGAACAACACTATCACAGTGCCCTTCACACAGGCTTTTCTGACATCACTCAAAGCCAGAAAAAGATGTACAGGTCAAGGTCTTCAGATACTGTCTCATATCACAGAACACGCTGACCACTATACTAAGAAGCTTCAAGTGGTAACTCTGTATGCAGCAGGAAAATATTACAACCAATACGGGAAAGTATTCTCCTTTAAAAATTTTCTCTTACCCAGTAAACCCACACCACAGAGTCCATGAGGAGCTGCCCCTTAAACACAGGCGGATTACCACAGCAAAGAAGCTGGATATGACTTCAGACACTAGAACCACACACTTCAAAATCAAATTTAAAAGGAAAAATTATACAAACTAAGGAGAAAACAAAGTCAGGAAGAGTCTACACTTCCAGACTAGATAGACCAGTACAAGAGCGGAAAACTACAAGATGTGGGGGTCTCATATCATAAGACCTTGAGATGGGACTATTTGGTCCACCCAGAGATGCCAAGCTAAAAGCCTGAAAGATTCACACATTTTCCCTTTGTTGGACTGCTGTCCTCAGAGTTTTCCTAAGTGACAGTCACAGAAGGTCCAATCCACCAGGCTACTCCACACACCCTGACATGGTATGGCAGCAAAAGGAGAACAGCAGAAATGGCTGAGGGATCTCAAGAAGAAGACAGGGACTGAGGCAGTTCCATACAGGTTCTGAGGGGCCAGATAAAATTAAACAGCAGCCAGTATTTTCCCATCTTCCGATTATATCTTCCAAATATGACAACTGTGATGAAAGCAGCACAGGATCAGGGGTTAGACGCTTGGGGCATCAGCTCTGATCTACATGGACTAAGAACTGAGTAGCCAATAGATCCAAGGCCACAAAGAGAGAAGAGGGGGCAAGACAACCCAGTAAGGCAGCCCACCTCATGCTCCTCAAACTCAAGCCACAACCAGCTCACAGCAGGGAGATGACGAGGGTTATGGATCTTGATAAAAACCTTGCCTTTGTGTCTGATGGAGCTGCAGCACCACTGGAGGGTGAAAGAATACATGATACATGTTGAAGGACAGACTGATAACTCGGGGAAAAGTTAAGTTTCCTCTGAGAGTTTAATAAAGAAACTTCTCTTTTGCCAAAGATCTGAGAGAGTCAACTCATAGGTAGGTCTTACAGACCCTTACAATCTTGAGACATTCTTCTGACTTACTGTAATAACCAATTGAAAAAGTATATAGCTCCCTTGCTAAGACTAGTGAGGGGGGGCATTCTCCAGCCCCCTTCTGATGTCTACGTCAAAAGCTTTCTCTGTCCCCTTTCATAAAAGCTCTTGAGTGATCAAGGCTGGTTCCTGGTCCCAAAGCTATATCTTCTTCAGAGATCACTAATCTGACATCATTCACCGTAAGCTATCACCTCTATGTACCATTACAAGAGGTTTCCAACCACTATTAATGTTGTGCTTCTTCTCTGCCCTGAGATCTCATCTCTGTTCACACTTTTGATACATTCCCGTCCATTTGGGGGTTTTGTTTTGTTTGCTATTTTCACACCACTCATCACAGTACTAGGCTCTTTCTCTTGCTCCACTATGGAAATGATGTTTAGATCAGAAATAGAAAATCCTGCTTATCAGAACAGAGAAATGTAAAGTGCTGCGGTTTTTCCAAAATCACAGCTCTTTGTTCAGCTGAAGAGTGAGAATAGTACAGGTGGGTCTGGAAAAATATTCCATAAATTCTTGCACTGCTTTGCCTCCTTCTATATACTCAGGGAAGAATGTAATATATGTATCTAACACCCTTCCAAGAAATAGTGAGTCAAAAGTAAAGGACAGAAAACAGAAAATTGGATATCGTTTAAAATTTGGCATTCAGTTTTACACAAAATTAAGCTCTGGGAAAATCTCTGATGTAACATGAAGTGGGCAGATCATTGGAAGAAAGGGTCATTTTAAATTTGTGATGCCACATCATGTCTGTGTCAACAGGGCTCTAAGATCATGCAATGAAAACAGGCCTCCCAAGAGACACATAGGGAAAAATGCAAAATACTCAAGGGGAGATTCCAACATCCAAAGAGAAGCTATCCTCACCCAGGGAGAGCAGGTTCTTCTAGGTCTCCAACATCATGTCCCTGTACAAGGCCCTCTGAACAGGGTCCAGGCATTCTCAATTCTCCTGAGAGAATTCAATCACCACATCCTTGAAGGTTAATCATCCCTGAAATGAGAATATATTTCACCAATGGATCATGAGAAAAGTTCTAACCTTCATAAAAAATGAAAAGATGATGACAGGGGTAAGGATTTATTCAGATATGTTCTGAAAGAGTTGTGTTAAGGTATTTGGAAGGCTTCCCTGGTGGCTCAGAAGGTAAAGAATCTACCTGCAGTACAGGAGACCTGGGTTCAATCCCTGGGTCAGGAAGATCTGGAGAAGGGAATGGCTACCCATTCCAATATCCTTGCCTGGAGAATGCCATGGACAGAGGACCTCGCGGGCTACAGTCCATGGGGTAACAAAGAGTTGAACACAACTAAGCAGAGAGACTAACACACACTGTGTCCCTTAAATTCTTATGCATTTTCATAAAAGATTTTTGTATCTTCCAATAAACATGTCTTTTTCACTTTTTGTAAAGAATGCATGAAAAATATCTAATAACAAAAGGTTGTCTATGCAGAAGTGTCAGATACTATTGTTCTACACACTGAGAGATATTCAATACCTAAATGAGTTACACTCTGAGTGGTGGCTTCAGAGATGACAAAGTCCAGCAATGGCTTTAAAGAAAAATCAAAATCAGCAATTATGATAATGACAGAAATAGCAATGACTGAAATTGTTTGAATACTTTAAGATAAGAAGCTAAGCAATGACACATATGGATCAAAGAAATCCAGAAAAATTTTGAACATCTACATGAAACTGAAAGTACAACATTCCAGAATTTAAAACATGCAGTGAAAGTTATAACAAAAGAGAAGTCTACATGGCTAAGAAACGTCTCAGGTGGTTCAGTGGTAAACATCATGCTTGCCAATGCAGGAGACCCAGGAGATTTAGGTTTGATCCCTGGGTTGGGAAGATCCCTGGAGAAGGAAATGACGACTCACTTAAGTATTCTTTCTTGGGAAATCCAATGAACATAAGAGCTGGATGGGCTACAGTCAATGGGATGCAAAGAGTCAGACACGATAGAGCACACACACACATGCACGTGGCTAAGTGGTTAGCACAAAAAGGAAAAAGAAGTCCAATCAGGAAACTATTTTTACATCTCAAGGAAGGAGAAAGAGAACAAGCTAAATACAGCTTTGGCAGAACAAAAGAGTTAAAATAAGAAAGATTCAGATCCTGCACACCAACTTCCGGGCACTGATCTGAAGAAAACCATAATTCAAAACAGTAGGTGCAGTGCACCCTTAATGTTCACTGCAGCACTATTTACAACAGGCAAGGCATGGAAACAATCTAAATGCCCAGCAACAGAGGAACGGATAAAGAAGATGTGGTACATATATACAAGAATATCAATCGTGTCCAACTCTTTGCGATCCCATGGACTATAAAGTCCATGAAATTCTCCAGGCCAGAATACTGGAGTGGGTAGCCTTTCCCTTCTCCAGGGGATCTTCCAAACCCAGGGATCAAACCCAGGTCTCTTGCTTTGCAGGCAGACTCTTTACCAACTGAGCTATCAAGGAAGCCCGAATGAAACATTAACTCCTGCATAAAAAAAGAAAGAAAGAAAGAATGCCATTTGCAGGTACATGCATGGAACTAGAGATTATCATGTTATGACAAACCTAGACAGCATATTGAAAAGTAGAGACATTACTTTGCCAACAAAGGTCCGTCTAGTCAAGGCTATGGTTTTTCCAGTGGTCATGTATGGATGTGAGAGTTGGACTATAAAGAAAGCTGAGTGCCAGAGAATTGATGCTTTTGAACTGTGGTGTTGAAGAAGACTGTTTAGAGTCCCTTGGACTGCAAGGAGATCCAACCAGTCCATCCTAAAGGAAATCAGTCCTGGGTGTTCACTGGAGGGACTGATGTTGAAGCTGAAACTCCAATACTTTGGCCACCTGATGCAAAGAGCTGACTCACTGGAAAAGACCCTGATGCTAGAAAAGATTGAGGGCAGGAGGAGAAGGTTAGAGGATGAGATGGTTAGATGGCATCATCGACTTGATGGACATGGGTTTGGGTGGACTCCGGGAGTTGGTGATGGACAGAGAGGCCTGGTGTGCTGCGGTTCATGGGGTCGCAAAGAGTTGGACACGACTGAGTGACTGAACTGAACTGAACACCTAATGAAGTCAACCCCTTCATCTAACTGATTTTCAGAGACCATCATGAAATACCTGTAAGAAAGCTATAAAACAAAACACTTTTGAAACTTCTGCAGGAAAAGTCATAAATAGTAATGTCATCTTCTTAAGAAAGCTAAAATAATTAAATACATATATATCACATTTATATGGTTTCTCTCCAGTATGAATTCTCCAATGAACTACAACATTTGCACTTTGACTAAAGGTCTTGCCACATATATCACATTTATATGGTTTCTCTCCAGTAGATAAGACAGAGTGTCTGATGAACTATGGATGGAGGTTCGTGACACTGCACAGGAGACAGGAATCAAGACTATCCCAAGAAAAAGAAATGCAAAAAAGCAAAATGACTGACTGAGGAGGGCTTAAAAACAGCTGTGAAAAGAAGGGAAGCGAAAAGCAAAGGAGAAAAGGAAAGATATACCCACTTGAATGCAGAGTTCCAAAGAATAGCAAGGAGAGAGAAGAAAGTCTTCCTCAGTGATCAGTGCAAAGAAATAGAGGAAAAGAATAGAATGGGAAGGACTAGAGATTTCGTCAAGAAAATTAGAGATATCAAGGGAACATTTCATGCAAAGATGTGCTCAATAAAGGCCAGAAATGATAGGGACCTAACAGAAACAAGATATTAAGAGGTGGCAAGAATACACAGAACCGTACAAAAAAGGTCTTCACAACCCAGATAATCATGATGGTGTGATCACTCACCTAGAGCCAGACATCCTGGAATGTGAAGTCAAGTGTCACTACGAACAAAGCTAGTGGAGGTGATGGAATTCCAGTTGAGCTATTTCAAATCCTGAAAGATGATGCTGTGAAAGTGCTGCACTCAATATGTCAGCAAATTTGGAAAACTCAGCAGTGGCCACAGGACTGGAAAAGGTCAGTTTTCATTCCGATCGCAAAGAATGCTCAAACTACCGTACAATTAATTGCACTCATCTTACACGCTAGTAAAGTAATGCTTAAATTTCTCCAAGCCAGGCTTCAGAAATACGTGAACTGTGAACTTCCAGATGTTCAAGCTGGTTTTAGAAAAGGCAGAGTGTCAGGAGCCGCCGGGGTGCGCCCAAACCATGACAAGGTCACCGGACCAGAGAGAAACCTGCAAGGCAGCTCTTCCTCACACGGGGCTGCCCGGGGGCCCAATATGTCCCCTCGGGAGCCACCAGTACGAGAAAGGAATCTGCAAGGCAGCTCTTCCCCTTCATACCCGGGGGCCCGGTATGTCCCTTTCTTCATCTTACTGTTTTGGGCTTTCATTTTTGGAAATATAATATATAGTAATAAGGCCTCGCTGGAAAAGTCCAAGCCTATTTAGAAATGCTCATGATTCCTCCGGCCCAGGACACGGAGCAAAACACCAAAAACATATGTTTTTGACCATAAACATCAAGTCAAAAAGGAAAAGGCCACAGGCATAGTTTGGCTGCTTGCTTAAAGGATTATAATGTTCTAGAATAGAAAAGAGTAGAGACATTTAGATTTAGAAGTAGATATACTGCTTCGGTTTACTTGCTCCTTGGTTGAGAGGGTTTTCATTATTGCTATTTCCTTGCTGCTATTTGTCCATTGTTTCCCTTTCTTTAAACAACATGGGATATAATGGGTATTTTTGTAGAGTTAGGAAATTGGGTACATAGGATTTCAATAGAAGATTTATATTAACCAGCTTCACTGCCATTATTTCACTATTAATAGAGGTGTTTTGCTGCTTTAGAGGTATTTTTGTTGTTTAATAGTTAATCATTGTAAATTGAGGTTTTGTGGTTTCAGGTAAAGAAAAATATCAGGGTTTTCACATGGTACTATTCTCAGAAATGTCAAACATATTTTTGTAGCCCTTCCCATGTATTGTTTTATTGTCTAAAGAATTCATACTATACCTGAAATTTGTGGAACATTGTTTTTGTCAGAGTGAAATTGTTAGGCCATTGAAGCAAGAAGACTAATGTACAGGATGTTCTAGGAGAAAACCCTGTAATTGGAAAAGTTCCAGATGAATGCATAAGGGAAAAACATGGGGGAAAAAAATATTGACGGTAGCACAAACCAATATCTGATGCAATATGTGGTGACTTAAGGGGGAGGTAACGTTCATTCTATAAAAACTGAGCTGCCCCCCCCCCCAAAAAAAAGCTACCTGTTCTACGCAACCTTCTGTGTGTGTCTGTCTTCTTCCTCACCGATGCCACTCATCCCTTGGGTATTCCTGGACCCGCTGGGGCTGGACCCCAACAGCAGAGGAACCAGAGATCAAATTGCCATCTGCTGGATCATCGAAAAAGCAAGAGTTCCAGAAAAACATCTATTTCTGCTTTATTGACTATGCCAAAGCCTTTGACTGTGTGGATCACAAAAAAGTGTGGAAAATTCTGAAAGAGATGGGAATATCAGACTGCTCGACCTGCCTCTTGAGAAACCTGTATGGAGGTCAGGAAACAACAGTTAGAACTGGACATGGAACAACAGACTGGTTCCAAATAGGAAAAGGAGTACAAAGGAGTACGTCAAGGCTGTATATTGTCACCCTGCTCACTTAACTTCTATGCAGAGTACATCATAAGAAACTCTGGGCTGGAGGAAGCACAAGCTGGAGTCAAGATTGCCGGGAGAAATATCAATAATCTCAGACATGCAGATGATACCACCCTTATGGCAGAAAGTGAAGAAGAAATAAAGAGCCTCTTGATGAAAGTGAAAGAGGAAAGTGAAAAAGTTGGCTTAAAGCTCAACATTCAGAAAACTAAGACCATGGCATCTGGTCCCATCACTTCATGGCAAATAGATGGGGAACCAGTGGAAACAGTGGCTGACTTTATTTTTCTGGGCTCCAAAATCACTGCAGATGGTGATTGCAGCAATGAAACTAAAAGATGCTTGCTCCTTGGAAGATAAGTTATGACCAACCTAGACAGCATATTAAAAAGTAGACATTACTTTGCCAACAAAGGTCCGTCTAGCCAAGGCTATGGTTTTTCCAGTGGTCATGTATGGATGTGAGAGTTGGACTATGAAGAAAGCTGAGCACCGAAGAATTGATGCTTTTGAACTGTGGTGTTGAAGAAGACTGTTCAGAGTCCCTTGGACTGCAAGGAGATCCAACCAGTCCATCCTAAAGGAGATCAGTCGTGGGTGTTCATTGGAGGGACTGATGTTGAAGCTGAAACTCCAATACTTTGGCCACTTGATGTGAAGAGCTGACTCATTTGAAAAGACCCTGATGCTGGGAAAGATTGAGGGCAGGAGGAGGAGGGGACGACAGAGATGAGATGGTTGGATAGCATCACTGATTCGACGGACATGGGTTTGGGTGGACTCCAGGAGGTGTTGATGGACAGGGAGGCCTGGCATGCTGCGGTTCATGGGGTCACAAAGAGTCAGACACGACTAAGTGACTGAACTGAACTCCAGTATGAATTCTCTGATGATCTGTAAGATGTGCATTTTGACTAAAGGCTTTGCCACATACATCACATTTATATGGTTTCTCTCCAGCATGAACTCCCAGATGAATTCTAAGGTGTGTGTTTTGAGTAAAGCACTGGTCACACACATCACATTTATATGGTTTCTCTCCAGTATGAATTCTCCAACGAAGATAAAACCTGTAACAGAAGGCTTTGCCACATAAATTACATTTATATGATTTCTTTCCTGTATGAACTGCTTGATGGTTGCTTAGAGCTGAACATGCATTGAAATCTTGGTCACACTCATTATATTTGTAAGTTTTCTCTCTAGTATGAATTCTCTGAAGAATTCCAAGGCTTGCATTTTGAGTAAAGCACTGGCCACAAATATCCCACTTATATGGTTTCTTTCCAGTATGAATTCTTTGATGAACTAGAAGGTTTGTGGTCTGACTACAGGCCTTGCCACATACATCACATTTATACGGTTGCTCTCCAGTATGAATTCTCCAACGAAGATAAAACCTGTAACAGAAGGCTTTGCCACATAAATTACATTTATATGATTTCTTTCCTGTATGAACTGCTTGATGGTTGCTTAGAGCTGAACATGCATTGAAATCTTGGTCACACTCATTATATTTGTAAGTTTTCTCTCTAGTATGAATTCTCTGAAGAATTCCAAGGCTTGCATTTTGAGTAAAGCACTGGCCACAAATATCCCACTTATATGGTTTCTTTCCAGTATGAATTCTTTGATGAACTAGAAGGTTTGTGGTCTGACTACAGGCCTTGCCACATACATCACATTTATACGGTTGCTCTCCAGTATGAATTCTCTGATGAACTGCAAGGTATGCATTTTGACTAAAGGCCTTGTCACATACATCACATTTATATGATGTCTCTACAGTATGAACTCCCTGATGAGTTCCAAGGTGTGCATTTTTAGTAAAGCACGAGCAACATGCATCATATTTATATGGTTTCTCTCCAGTATGAATTCTCCAGTGAACTGTAAAATAAGATCTGTAACTAAAGGCTTTGCCACATACATTTAAAAGGTTTCTCTCCTGTATGTCTTAACTGCTTGATGGTCAGTTAAGACTACACGTGCACTAAAAGCTTTACCACACTCATTACATTTCTATGGTTTCTCTCCATTATGTATTGATGAATAATAAGGCCCAACTCCAACTGAAGACTTTGCCACCCTTCTTCCATTTGTAAGGTTTCTTTCTCGTATGAATTCTCTGATGAATTCCAAGGTGTGAATATTGATTAAAGCATTAAAGACGGAAAGAACAATACTTCACAAATTCATTCACTCTCTGCCTTCTTCTGAATGCATAAGGAATAGTACTATATGCAAATACCTATTACTTTTAAAGAACTACTAAACCAAGACTGTAGGGGTAGAAAATAGGAAATTGGGTATTTCAAAAGGTTGAAATCAACTTTACAAATACTTAAGCTCTGGAAAAACTCCTTGTGTATCATGTAGTGGGCAAATCACCTGAAGAAAGGACAAGTTTAAATTCCTAATGCCAATCATGAGGCTTTTCATGTCTGAGTCAACAGGGCTTTGACCTCAGTTATGAAAAACAGGCTACCAAGAGGCATACAGAGAAAATGCAGAGACACACCCCTAGGGCAGATCCCCAACTTCAGAGGCAAGTTATTCTTACCCACAGAAAGCACATTTTTGAGGGTCTCCATCATCACATCCCTGTACAAGGCCCCCTGAACAGGGTTCAGGCACTCCCATTCCTCAGGAGTGAATCTGATGGCCACATCCTTGAAGGTCAACTGTCCCTGATATGAAAACATTTCACCAATAGGCCTTGAGCAGAGTTTTTATTTTCAGAGAAAAGAAGAAGAGGAAAAAGTGGTAAGGGTCATTTCAGTAGAAATAATATTCTGATAAATCCATGGAAAGCTATTTGGAGCAAATTCTTGATCTCTAATTGCCTACATTAAACATTGTTTCTGAAATAAATAATGAATCAAAATTAGTAAAGTTGGGACTTTCCTGGTGATCCAGTGCTTAAGACCCTGCATTTCTACTGCAGGGGTTTTAGGTTCAATTCCTCCTCGGGAACTAAGATCCTACAAGACACAACTTGCAACCAAGAAGAAAAGACAAAAAATATTAGTAAACTTGATTTCATGGTTTAAATAGACAATGGAAAGAATTTTTTAAAAATGGAAAGAACGAAAAAAAGAAAGAAAAAAAAAAACTGAAAAAGAAGAAAAAAGATAAAACAGACAATGATATGAAACACCATGTAGTCCCGAGATCTCTTTCTGAACTTTCCATTCCATTCCCAAACACTTAGGATTTCAAGGAGGTGCTCAATTAGTTTTAAATGTACTATAAAAAGTCAGAACTGATTTCCACTCATTGGTCTCTTTGGCAGATTTTCCTGTGTACTGTACATGTTAATACCTGAGGTCCATGTACAGCTTCTTTACCCTGGTTGACAGAGCAGACAGCACATCCAGGTGGGCCCTAAACAGTCCCTGCTGCCCAACAGCACTGAGACCCCGTCTCCAACCTGTGGGTATGAAGCCCTGCCCAGGACAGCGCCCAGGGGAACCTCCTCACAAGGGCCAGGTCACCGGGTCATGGGGAGATGGGATCTAAGTGGAGACGACAGGCCCTGAGGGAAGGCCCCAGGTGAGTGTGCATGTACAGGAGTCAGACAGGACACTCCAGAGTCAGACACGATTATCAAGTCCAGAGAAGGGCATTTCAGGAAGGCAGTGTGAGAATCCACTGAGAATATGACCTTACCTGAGAAAGAGCCATGCCTGACTCCTGTTCTTTCCTCTTCTGGGCTTCTTCGTCCGTAAGTCTTCACAGTTCTATTATGAAAGTTGAAAACATGTTGTTTAATGCTTAGAGTCAACACACCCCTTTCCTGAGCCCCAACCACACACACAAGGAAGCCCTCACCATGTGGAACAGACAGTCCCCTGTGCCCACTGTCTCAGGAGGGACTCAGGACAATCAACTCCCACACAGAGACCAACAAGGGACTTTCCCACACTTTCCCTCGGATCACACTCCCCTCCTGGTGAGACCTCATGCACACAGCAGCAGGGGGAACCTCCGCTGACCCCACGATCCCCTTCAGGTCACACAGCAGGCCCTGGTCCAGCCCCACTCAGAGCAGAGCGCCCTCCCCTCCCCCAGGGTCTGATCGTAGTCTCAGAAGTGGAGGCTAAGAGCCCTGGTGCTCAATGCAGGATCCAAATCATTATCATCTGAGCCCTGTGCACATTCCTGCGGCGAGGCCCCACACGAGAACCTGAGGAGCGTGTCTGATGGGGGAGAAATGACTAATGAAAGGAATATGTGTACACATACCATACACCCTGTGACCATGTGACACATGTGTACACTGTGAAATATTTATCACAAACCACTAACCAACACATAAATCATCTCCAAATTCCCATGTTCTATGTGTGGTGACAACACTGAAGACATACTCTCCTGACAAATTTGAAGCAAGTAGTAACAGAACAGGATTAACTACAGTCAGCATGCTGCGCATACCTCCCTAGGACGCACTCATTTCACAACTCAAAGTCGATAGCTTTTGACCAACATCTCCCCATCTTCCAGACCTTCCAGATGACCACCATCCTACCCTCTGATACTAGTGAGTTTCATTTTTTTTACATTCCATATAATGGAAGGACATATAATATCAATCTTTCCCTGTCTGTCTTAATTCACTTACCATAATATTCTCTACATTCATCCAAATTGTCCCAAGTGAGACAAATCTCCATAATTGTTTACAAGAAAGTCGCTATTGAAGGAACAAATCTTTATCCCAAGCTACAAAAATAATTAAATGTAAAGAAAGCAGAAACCCAAAAGTAAAACCATCACAAAGAACATGGTTAAAGTTCCTTGAAAAGGCATCATGTAGTAAGTCAGTCAGTTCTTGCCCCATTTCTTCTCTCACATAACCTCTACTCCTCACCAGGAATAGGGAAGGGGGTGACCCACACCTGAGAGAATCAAGTCACTGCCCCAGCCCCCACCTCAACAGGCTCTACACATGGATGCTCTTTTAATACAAATAATTACAAAATACACATGCCTCACAGACAGAAGCTTTGAAATTCTCATTCTTATCTGTATAATTTAAAGAAGCAAGATCTGCATTAGATTTTAAAGCCAAAAACCAATGTATAATGACTTAATAATTCTTACCCAACCAACTCAGCACTCTTCTGGATCTAGTCCCCACCATCACCTGCACACTAGCTGTTTCGACTTCATTTGGTTGATCTGTTTCCCTACTTCTTTCTACATCTCCCTTTCTCTGCTCTCATCTTTGCTCTCCTGCTGTGCCTGTCCTCTACTTCTTCCCTGCCTCCCATCCCACCTCTCTCTGCCATCTGTTCGCCTTCAAGTTGCTTTCTCTCCAACCTCCCTGGTGAGCCTCAATCTCCCTGTAATTTGCCTTTCGTCTTCCATCTCTGCCCTCCCTTCCTCCCAACTCTCTGGCACTCCCAAGTGGCTATGCTTCCTTTCAGCTCGCTTTTTTTCTCAGCTCCTCCAATCACTAGGAGTCCCCTTTCTCTCCCAGAAGGATATTCTTGCTCTGGGCCCAACTCTTGTATCACCTTCGAGGGCTGTCTCTGTGAACTGCCTCTCCACTGTCGCCCTCTTTGGGACCCCTGATTTACAGCCCCTCTCCCTTGAAGGCTACAGAAGGGGGCGGCACAGGACAAGATACCATCCCTGGACTCAGCGGACATGGATTTGAGAAAACTCTGGGAGATCCAGGGCTCGCAAAGTGTCGGAATGAACAACCACACCTCCCTATGTTGCTCACCGTTAACTCTCCGGAGATCCTGCTTTTCTCTGAATTTCTCTCCTTTCCCCACCCGCTCCCTACAAGGCTCATTCTCTTTCATGAAGCTGTCTCTTCCAAGTTCCTCACAATCCTCTTCACTGCCATCACTTGTCCCACATGCTTTTCTCAATTTTCCATTTCGCTAGGAGTCGCTGTCTCTGCTTCTCCTGATCCCGCCTTCTGCCCACTATTTACAGGGGTAGGAGACTGAATAAGAAAGGCCCTCCAGAAAGAGCCAGATTCCGGCGGCTGGTATTTGGGGCTGAAGAACCATGGGTGTCACGTGGCTGCCTCAGGTCACCTCCCGCCACCAGGGATCAGGGGAAAAGTCACTATGAAGGGCAGAAGGACCGGCCTGCGGAGACTTAAGGACAAAGGGGCTGGGAGGGAGAGGGGTCTCAGGAGCGGAGCGGGCTCTCCAGAATCCCAGGACCGGGGAGAGAACGCGGCCTCTTTGGGAGAGGGCCGGCCGGCGAGGCCTCCAGGGCCCGAGAGGCTGAAGAACGTGGAGCGAATAAACCACCTCGCCTAATAGAATTGTATGTGGTGCAGAAAGGGTAGAGGGGTCAGTGAGGTCAGTAAACGGTTTTAAGCCGGAAAAAGGCGCGAAACGCAGCGTTTCAGTGTTTCAAAAGTAGGCACCGGCTTCAGTGCGGACTTTAAACCAAAAGGCAGGCGCCCCTTCGCCGCTTACGGAGACCTCTGAATTTGCTTGGGGTGGTGGGGCGGGAGCGGGGATTTAGAGTCAGTAGAGACCCTCAGAGCCGGGGTATAAAGAAAAGGAGACTGCGAGAGGCAGGTCCAACTCCAAAGACAGAAACTCACGGTACGGTGGGACCTCCACTCGCCGCTCTCCGCTTCCCCGTGTGTCACAGTGCGCGCACGCGCAGACAAATAGCTGAAAGGCCTGGAGGTGGGGCCAGGCCGTCAGGGGGTGGGTGGTGGAGGAGAGCCGGAGCAGCACAAGGCCTTTGAAAGGTGAGGCGGTATCTCGCTGCGCGGCGGGCGGGGCAGGGCGGAGCGGAGCGTCCTGGCGCGTTGGGCTGGGCGATTCGGCGCGGGGAGAGGGGCGGGGCGGGGCGGCTCAGCGGGGCGAAGCCTCGCGGGGCACCGGGTGAAGGAAACTAATTCAATACTGTAGTCACTGTTAAAGGGGACTGCAGGCAGGGGACTGCTCCTTGGAAGGAAAGTTATGATAGAACTAGATGGTGTTTTAAAAAGCAAAGGAATCACGTTGCCAACAAAGGTCCCTATAGACAGACTATGGTTTTTCCAGTAGTCAGCTAGGGATGTGATTAAAAAAGGGATGTGGGAGTTGGTCCATAAAGAAGGTAGAGCATAGAAAAATTGATGCTTTTGGATTGTGGTGCTGGAGATCAGTCTTGAGAGCCCTTTGGAGGGCAAGGAGATCAAACCAGTCAATCCGAAAGGAGACCAACCGTGAATATTCATTGGAAGGACTGATGCTGAAGCTGAGGCTCCAATACTTTGACCACATGATGCAAATATCGGACTCATTGGAAAAGACCTCGAGGCTGGGAAAGATTGAAGGCAGGAGGAGAATGGAATGATAGAGGACGAGACGGTTAGATGGCATCACCAACTCAATGGACATGAGTTTGAGCAAACTCCAGGAGATGGTGAAAGACAGGGGAGCCTGGCATGCTGCAGCCCATAAAACGGCAATGAGTCAGTCATGACTGAGCGACTAAACAACAGCAACAACAACACATCGCTGATAGGGCATAGACTGGGAATTTGTGGAGGGTGTGTCTGGTTTTTTCCCAAGGAAACAGGGGGCCTAGTGGGGGTCTTATATTAGTGACAATGGGGAAGGGTGGCTCTTGGCAGTAAGCCTTTTCCATTTTTTAATCTTTGCTCTTTTTCATAATTACAGGGTCTGAAGTAAGCTTCAACTCTGTCATCATAAGCTATAATGAAGGAGGAAACAGACAGAGCTGGACTCCATCTTAGGCCTGTTATGCCCGATGTCCGAATCCCTGAGCGGGAAGAGAGAAGGCTTCCAAGACAATGCAACTCGCAAAAAAGGGAAGTTTATTGCTGACTCGAGTCAGGGCTCCTGCCGCGCGTCCAGCGCAGTGGTACGGGGTCAGAGAGCGCTGAGCCCAAGTTGTTACCCAATTTATAAGGTGTGCATAAGCAGTTGGTAGCTGGCTTAAGCGGATTGGTTACATGTTTGCAAAGTAATCTTATTGGCCCAAACCTTCGCAGGCTTTTTTCAAACTTGGGCATTTGTGGGCTTTTCAGCTTTCCCTGATAGGTTCCCTTTTTCTTGCTAGGCGCATGTTGATTGGCTGGCTCCAGGTGGCCTGATAATCATGTTACCCCGGAAAACCAGGCCTACTCCTAATCTAGGCTGCCTGTCATGGCATTAGCCTTGGCAGCCTTACAAGGCCAGGCTGCAAACATTAGGCTACACGCATGGTCACCCTACCAATGGACTCTGAACTTTGTGCCCGGTGTCTGTAGAAGTGGCATACCAATGGGAAACCAGACCCCCTGGATAAAAAAGCCTCAGGACTTGTACTTGGACTCTCCATTGACTAAGAGAATATGCTAATTATCTCTGTAACAGGACAAAGTCATAAATTCCATTATGTTTATTGGGCCATGACCACAGTCCTGTTGATAAATGTCCAGTTTATCTAGTCTTGTGACACATGAATCATGGGTTAACTTTGGTCGTATCTCTCTTTTACCTTGTCCAGACTAGTTTCAAGGAATTTGGGGAGGTGGGTTTCGGCAAGTACACTTAGGGTATATAAGGTTTTCACAAAAACTAGGTGGGGTCCTTGGCTAAGAGGCAACTCTGCCTTGGGCCCGCCGGTGTAATAAACTGCACTCCACTATCTGTATTGTCTTTCTGAGTCAGTTTGTTTCTCAGAACGCGTGACTACAACAATAATACCAAGAAAAGTCAAAGAAGATAAATACACATGTAATAGTTGAAAAATGGAACCTTAGGAATATTAACCCAATAATAATAGAACAACAAAGGCCTGAGAACCTTGGTGTATGTACCTTAGAATGTTGGTGAGGGGCCTTGCGTGTTCCTTTGGGCTGTGTTGTGTCTGGTCCTGTCACATCTTAGAGACATAAGTACCTGTTGAAAGACGTTCCTCTGAGTCAACAAGTCAGAGGTCTGTGTTGAACCAGAACCCAGAGGTTATACTAACGCCAAAATCTTGGCTCTTTGTGCACAAATGCCAAACCAAAATACTTGAAATACAAACACAGAGACAGAGTTACGGAGAAGAGTGGCTTTATATATGTGTGAGGCTAAAAGGGAATCCTTTAGGCCCCCTCCCTGGTAAGTAGGGAGAGGTTATATTGTCTGCTAGGGATATATGCTAAGAATCAAGGCAGTAACAGTTTTGTATTCTTCTTTCCTCTACAAAGTTGTAAAAGGATGGGGTTGGTGACATGATTAAATTGTGTGCAGGGTCTTAGGTGGTCTGGTCTCCTAATCAGTGCAGTGGTAAAGAATCCACCTGCCAGTATAGGAGACTTGGGTTCGATTCCTGGGTCGGGAAGATCCCCTGGGGGAAGAAATGGCAACCCACTTTGTGTCCACTGGGCCACAAGAGGGTTGGACACGATTGACCCGGCGTGAGCATCCTTCTTTGATTAGCAATTGTTCTGCCCTTTGGAACTCACAGAAGGTCATGGAGACTGCAGTCCTGCCTATAAGAAATGGGACCCAAAAAGGCCTCTGTGCCTGGGAGACCCACAGGGCCCTGCTCTGCAGCCTCAATACTAGGGAAAATTTTTTCCAGTTTGCCATTTCTCTGGTGATCACTGAGAAAAAAGTCTTTGCACAGCATCCTGGATATTATGTTTATAATTAGACAGTAATGAAATATCATACTGATGTAACCAAATTATCCCCTCATCTCCTCTTTTACCAGCTGTGCTCTGGTGAAGAAATAGCTGGTGAGAATAAGTCTTTCTTCATTAATAAAGTGAAAAAGCAGTCTGTTGTTTTCTGTGCCCTGAGAAAGAAAGTTGCATGTGAATTGTCCACGTTGCGCATGCGGACAATGCACATGGATGTGGACAGATGTGATGTTACCTTAAAACGGTTTGGCCCAGACACGTGGGGAAAAGTCTTCACGAAATTCCAAAAGTAGATGTACTGAGGTTTAGCACATATGAAGAGGTAAACACAAACTGAACTGAATTATCCAAGAAATACTCACCATTGTTGGGAAAACAAAATTAAACACCAAAGTGAATGGGCCTGGAAATTATCATACTGAGAGGGTAACAAGCAGGAAGGTCAGGGGTCTCCAAATGGAGGATATAGGCTGCAAGTGTCAACATTTTTTATCTTTCTCTAAGCGGCAGGAGGAGGAAACAAATTACAAGCGTCAGATATTTTCCCCTTCTCTATTCAAAATTTTAATTTCGTATAGGAGGTTTCTCTTAAAATTCTGTGTTGCTATGACGACACCTGAACTTAACTTTTCTCAAACCTTGAGCTAACCAATGCGTTTTTCTTATGGAAATGTTTTTATTAAGCTATGTTAATGAACTATGTATTTACCCTAGACTCTTCAAGTTGGTTTGCTTAAGAGACTCAGAACCAATAATGGCTCAACAAACCAGTATGTTTTACTCATACAATTGTTTTCCTAATCTATGTTAATGAAACTATTTATGTGCTTGGAAACCTGCCTTTCTTCAAGATTCATGTCAATTGTTTTAAGGCCCGGGACAACTCACCTTGTGCCAATGTTATCTCAAAATGCATGTTGTGGGTGAGGGGCCTGGTGCCAATCTCTAAGTTTTGAGACATTTCCTTTCTCCAATTAGCAGCCTGCTAGTAGTGGTACTCTTGCCTGGAAAATCCCATGGACAGAGGAGCCTGGTGGGCTGCAGTCCATGGAGTTGCTAAGAGTCGGACACGACTGAGCGACTTGACTTTCACTTTTCACTTTCATGCATTGGAGAAGGAAATGGCAACCCACTCCAGTGTTCTTGCCTGGAGAATCCCAGGGACGGCAGAGCCTGGTGGCTGCCGTCTATGGGGTTGCACAGAGTCGGACACCACTGAAGCGACTTAGCAGCAGCAGCAGCAGCAGCAGCAGCTATATAACATCCACCTAAAGACTAGCAGGGGGCACTCCTTCTGATGTCTATGTCAGAAACTTTATCTATCTCTTTTATACTTTAATAAAACTTTATTACACAAAATCTCTGAGCGATCAAACCTCATCATTGGCCCCAGATTGAATTCCTCTCCTCCGGACGCCAAGTCCGGAGTCTTTCAAGGCTCAGCAACAACCTTTCAATACTAAGTGAATAAGTCAGAGAAAGACAAAGATTAGACATCACTTATATTTGGAATCTGAAAAAAGATACCAATGAACTCATTTACAAAGCAGAAATGTCCAATTGTATAGCATAGGGAGCTCTGCTCAATGTTATGTGCTAGACTGGATGGGACAGGAGTTTGGGGGAGAATGGATACATGCATATGTGTGGCTGAGTCCCTCGATTGTCATTTATCCCAACCCCTTAAAAGATCTGAATTCTCTTGGGACCCAGCAGTACTCTACACCCATACCCACCTCATCCCCCAGTATAAATCCACCTCATCCCACCTCATCTTTGCTCTTTTATTAAAATTTGAAAATAGTAGAGTAGGTTCACAATGTTGTGTTAGTATCAGGCATAGAGCGAATTGAATGAGTTATATTTAAAAAATTATTTAAAAAATCTCCTTTAATGAGAACGGCATTCTTCTTTATAAAAAGTGTTTCTGTTTCATGCTTGTGATGACATAGCTTCAAATACTTGAGAAAAACTTGTATGGTAATATATACAATAATTATATATAGTATAGTTATATAACTATATAATAATACATAGTTGTCACTATTTCTCAATGTACCAGTGCCAGTGAAGTTGCTCAGTCGTGTCTGACTCTTTGCGATCCATGGACT